TGTAATCGCTCAATCAGTGTTTCAGCAGTGGAAAGACGTCAATAAAACAGCATAGCTTGTCACTAGCATTAAAGGGTTAGTTCACCCAAAAATGAAAATTCTGTCAGTATTTACTCACCCTCATGTTGTTCCAACCCCGTAAGACCTTCGTTCATCTTCGGAACACAAATTAAGATATTAAAGATATTAAGATCGCTCCTGAATACTAGTCCATAGGCTTCTTGAGGGAATGACTCTGGCTGGCATCAAAAAGTCATTAAAGACATTGTTAAAAAAATAGTCCAAGTGACTACAGTGGCTCAATTTTAACTTTATCAAGCGACGAGAATACTTTTTGTGCGCAAAAACAAACAAAAATAACAACTTTATTTCAACTATTCACTTCCTTCTCCATGGGCCTGTAGTCAGTTAACGTAGTGTGATTGCGTAAAGCTACGTCACACAAAGGCTCACTATTGGCCGACGCTGGTCATGTGTGTGATGCGTGTGACGTACAATAACAGAAGCTTATGCAATTAAACTAGTAACCTGACTCGCGCAGAGGGAGAAATAAACGAATAGTTGAAATAAAGTCGTTATTTTTGTTGTTTTTTGCGCACAAAAGTGTTCTCGTCGTTTGATAAACTTAAGATTGAGCCCCTGTAGTCTTGGACTTGGACTATTTTAACGATGTCTTTAATGACTTTGAGGACAGCAAGAGCCAGTCCCTCAAGAAGCCTATGGACTGTATGCAGAAGCGATCTTAATATCTTAAATATCTTAATTTGTGTTCCGAAGATGAACGAAGGTCTTACGGGGTTGGAACAACATGAGGGTGAGTAAATACTGACAGAATTTTCATTTTTGGGTGAACTAACCCTTTAACAGAAGTCATTCAGTTTCCACAACTTTTTGGTTCCTATAAATGAACTCTTGCACTAAATAAATGCACTATGTTAGCCTATATATTTTATTTTACTTAACCTGTTAATGATCATTAAATAATCTTAATTATTTAATGTATGTTTAAAATATCTTTCATTAAAATGACAACTGTGTAAATTATTTCAATAACAAATTAGAGTAAAAACACAAGTTAATGCAAAAACTGCCTTATGTTCAGTTTACATGTTTTCATACAATGTGTTGTGTGCTGATTATTATATCTAAAAAATAAATAGCATCTGAATTTAGCTTAAAAGTCTAGGCTACAACCTTCAATGGGCTAGGCTACAACTTTTAATATAGTTTACAGCATTAGCAGATTTTTTTTAAATCCTTGTGAAACATTTAATTGTAATAGAATTGGAAAAAAAAAGAAAGAAAAAAAAAGCCATTTGTAGCTTTCTTAACCGAACCGAACCGAGACGTCAAAACCGTGGGAAAACCGAAACGTCAGTTTTGTGTATCGTTACACCCCTAAATATATACTGTACAAGAGATAACATTTTTATATGTATTTAAATATTATTAAAATATTCATGACCTATTGCAGGAGTTGTGTTGAATGTTTGGCCTTTGGAAGCGGTCCGTTTGAAAAGAACTGCACTTTAGCCTGCGGCCATCTGAAGACTGTGACGGTTAAAAAATTATTTAAGACCGACTGTCGAGTCAAAGATCACTTGGGCTGCTGGATGTCATTCACAATGAAAGAACAGCTTGGATTTGACAAGTACGATATAAATGTCCTCGAAGACAGAGGTATAGTCCCCGACAACATTCCTGAAGTATTAAAAACATGTACTAGTTAATTTGGGTTCTTTCATTATTGACCCTCATGTCATTTTGAAACCCTGTAGATCTCTCTGTGTGTATGTGTGTAGCATTTCTGAAGAATCTTTATATTCTTAATATTCTTTTATTTACAACAAAAGTAAAAGCTGTAAAAGTAGCCATATGGACATTTTATAATGCTTTTTGTAGTTTTTGGAGCATAAGTAAAACAGTAGCGTGCAACAATATGAGGGTGTGTAAATTATAGTTTTGATTTTAGATTTGGACAAATACTCCATTTCAAACAAATATCACGTTTGAAACTACCAAAAGAAAAGCGTTCTACCTTTATGTTTCTTGTGTTAGAATGTCCTGAAGGGCCGAACATAGCAGCCATCGTAGGAGGATCTCTGGCAGGTGTGGCGTTGATTGGTCTCCTAATCCTCCTCATCGTCAAGGCAATTCTGTATGCAAGTGACCTTAGAGAATGGAGGAGATTTGAAAAAGACAGAAAACATGAAAAATTATCTGTAAGTTTGTTTTTTTTTAAACAAAAAATAAAAACCCTACCCTTCATATTCAGTCAAAATGCCAAAAGCTGTTCATCATTCACGCTTGACTTTTTTTAATTAAGCAGATTGTTTTCCTCTCTTCCCACAGGGACAAAACCCATTGTTCCAGAATGCTACGACCACTGTTCAAAACCCAACGTTTTCCGGAGATTCTTAAAAACTTGTCGGAGATGACACACATGAAGCAGAGAGTGGATGTGTATTAATTAATCTATAGGTCTGATGCATGATCATGCAATAAAATAAAAGCTTAAAATGTCCATTGCGATCTTTGAGTGAATTCATAAATTTTCTACACAGTTTTTATTGTATCTGCAGTAATTTAGGCCTAGATCAAATATGTTCAATAAAATACGTTTATATTTTACATGCTGTTTTATTTTCTATTTTGTGTAATTTAAATGTTGTTTTTTTTTATAGATCAATCTATTCAGCGAATGTTTTGCATTTGTAAAATGCTTTAGAAGCTCTTTATATTGAATGTGTCAATGTCTGTCCACATGCAAATCGCTATGAAAATTAATGAGATCACTATGTATTACTGCATTTCACTGATTCTCATTTATGAAACATGAGCACTGAACAAGCGCTGGCTTTCCACATTATTAAGATAACAGACTTGTGAGCTAAATATTTGCTTAACTTTGCATTATAACATGTCTAATGGTTCTTCAATGTTCATAACATGCAATTTAGGTTATAGAATGTGTTTTTGTACATAAGAGCTCTGTAAATGTCTTAAATATTAATAAATTACAACTGTAATTTGGAGGAATTGCCTTGTTCCTTAAATAAATTTGGGCTATGCATTTGAGCCTCTAATGGCATGCCATTTTAACATTGAAAATATTAAATTAGAATGAATTTTGATTTCTATACTTTAGAAAGTTGAAATGAAAGCTAGGAAAATAAATGAAGATTACTATTTTTATTCTTACGTTTAAAAGTAGAAGTGCATTTCTGAGGCACTTTGGCACTTTGAGAAGCTTGATAAATACAGGCCCTGGTCTTATTTCATTAAAAAATCTTTTCATACGAGTCAACTGAATAATAATGAGTTCATATATCATAGTCCATCAAAATATGCTTCAGTAATAATGGATTAAAGAAGGATCTTCACTCGTTGACAGAAACCTATGAGTTAGTCTGGAGTGCCCTATTTGACAGTGTGTATATTATGTATTACGCACCCGCGTTTTGATCGTTTTTTTTTTCACATAGCTGCAACATAGACTTAAAATACTCCGTCATTAATGGTTATATAAATAAAATCAATTTCTTACACTCTTATTAATATCAAAACCTTGTGTTTTTGTAAAATAAATAAATTAAACAGGGTGCGCTTTCAGCTCACTCTGTCTCCGCAAAAATCTTTCTGAAACGCTTCCGAAAAATGAAAAGCGACAGTAAAGACGTATAATGCTACAAATGATTTCTATTTCAAATAAATGCTGTTCTTTTGAAATTTTTATTCATCAAAGAATCTTGAAATAAATCTTTTCATTGATAATAATAACAACAAATATTTCGTGAGCAGCAAATCAGCATATAAGAATGATTTCTGAAGGATCATGTGACACTGAAGACTGTAATAAAAGTAATGATGACAGTTGAAAATGCAGCTTCGCAACAGAAAACTTTATTTTAAGATGACGGAGTTACACATTACTTCATGTAGTCATAACAGTAACTTATGCATAATTAAGTAACTAAACTTAAACTAAACCCTAAGCAAGTACGTTAATGTAATGTTACAACACTGTAAAAAAATATTGTTGGTTTAACTTAAAAAAGTAAGTAACCTGGTTGCCTTAAAATTTTAAGTTCATTGAACTGGAAAAAGTGAGTTAAAACAATGAAGGAGAATGATTTAATCATCAGAAACTCAAAATTATATGTTCTCTGAACTAAATAAATTATCTAAGTTGATTTGACAAAAGAAAACATGTTGTGATTACTACACTGTAAAAAAATATTGTTGGTTTAACTTAAAGTAAGTAACCTGGGTTGCCTTAAAATTTTAAGTTGATTGACCTGGAAAACGTGAGTTAATACAATGAAGGAGGTTAATTTAATCATCAGAAACTCAAAATAATAAGTTATCTCAACTAAATAAATTATTATAAAATTATTATAAAGTATTATTATAATTATTGTAAAGTTTCCACAAAGGAAAATATGTTGTGATAACAAATCTTGAAAATATTTTTTTACATTGAAAGTACTTATTTAAGTTAGACAGTGTCAGCTTAAAATATAACAATATATAAAAAAATATAATACAACAAATAATGCACCCTCTGTGAGCATAAGAGACTTCTTTAAAAAAAATTAAAGACCCCAAAAAATGAACTGAACCCGACCAGAAACCCTACAGTGTTCTGGGTCCAGTGGGGCTCAGGTTGGGTAGCATAACAACTGTAATACTGTACATCTCCGCTGCCCTTAAGAACAAACTAGATCGAGGCGTTTATGTAGACATGTTGCTACCGTATGCAAACATCTGAACTTGCCATGATGCCGTCCTCCATTTACCTGTAAAGGCAGCATTTGTTTTAGATATGAGAGCACATGGTTGAAGCCCAACCACACACTCTGCAGCACAATCACAAAAGCAGGTTTATGGAGCTGAACCTGCCATGTTAACGCTTGTCCTGGATTATGTAAGAGAAGGGGGAGAGTTCGAACCGAAGCACTGGTGGCTGGCTGCTCTCTCTGTTAATGAGTTTGAGGAAGGAGAGGGGAGCGGCCGCATTCTGGAGGCTGAAGTTCACCTAGAGACTATCTGGAGGTGAAAAGATAGGAGCGAAGCCCAACTCTTGGCTATCAAGGACAGAAATACACTGCCTAAAGAAGGTAGGCAACATTCTCTTGCAACTACGTTGAACTATAAAAACAGAACAACTTTTAATTTCAAAGGCTTTTGATGGAGTTTAAATGATTTATAATGTATAAACGTCATGCTTTACCTATGCAAGAGCTTGTGCAACTCCTTTTTGTGGTGCCATTTTGCCATGGTGGAATGTGCATTTCGGGTTTAGAGAAGTCGAATTAGTAATTTCATTCTCAATTTGCCCTGTTTCCCATGCATCCTTCATTATTTCATTCACAAAGGCTCTACTGTTGGGTCGAGCAGAGCACAACAAGCAGTGCTGAATGTAGTAGACTAACAGTGAGCCACTGTACATCTCAGTAATAATCACCCACACACACTTTTGATGGTCAATTTAACTCTCGAATGATCCGGCCAGCTCATTGCTGCCAGGGCATTTTGTAACCTACAGTATACTTCACTTGCCAAATAAACCCAGAAAAGACGATCTGTACTGATGCTTTAGACAACAACATCAATGCACTGAAGGAACTTGCTGAGATTCACCAAGGAGGTTTCATGACCAAAGAGGCGTTAACTAGATCATAGCACGGGAAGCATTCAACATAATTACTGCACATTTCTTTGCAAACATTTTGTGCAATTGTCATGGCGTACTTGATTCATTCGGTAATTATGCATGGACTTTGGAACTGTAGTAATAGTGAAAAGCAGAGCCGGCTTCAGACCGCTTTTAGCAGGGGGGCATTTATTTTCAATGGGTGGGCACTAGGTAGGTATGGGGACTTTTTTCCGATATTAGATATCCTATATTTATTATTGCTACTGCCTTTTCTGTTAGCTATTAACATGAAGTAATGCAACCCACACAATAAACACATAAAACATTACACATGGTTGCAAGACGAGCGACTCTTAAGAAATTTGATCAAGGGTTAAATAGGCCTATACAAAAAAAAAATTGCAAGACCGACTCTGACCACAGCTTTATAATAGCAAAGCTAACGAACATGTACACAGTCTCTCACTGACAGAATAGCCGTTTATATGCTATCTCAATGGCGGAAGTGAGAAAAAAAAAAGCTAAGTTACTCATCTTTATTCTGCTATGTTCTAACATAAGCATTTACATTCGTAGCCTTAAAAAAGCATCATGTAGTTACCTTTATCAAATAAAACCTTTAACACCTTTAACAAATAAAAAACACACAACATACACAGATATTATTCTACAATTTCCATTTACAAGAAAATATAGGCTTAAACACCTGTTTCTCCACGGCGGGAGTGAGTGACATTTCAGGACAATGGGCAGCGCAAAAACTAGGCCAACTAAACTATTAGTTTCATCACGTGACAACACATAGTGAACATTACAGTACATGCCAGTTAGATAAATAGCTACACTTACGACTCGGACTCGACTGTCTTTGGTCTCGGTCTCGACTACAACACTGCACGGTAGAAGCACCAAATACCAAAGCCGGGCTGTCGTTGTCTTGCTGTATGGGGTAATCGATGTGTAAGGAGAAACTGTGGTATTGAACCATTTTCTAATTTCCATTTTTGGAGAGTTTTCATCTGTTTACTTTGTTTTGAATGCAGGAAGCTCGCGCGGTCGCGCCAACTGAAAATCATTTCATTCAAGTATTAACGTGCGTGATTGGGGGGGCGGCAGGGGGGTTTCCTCACAGCGTCACTCTGGTTTTTATGTTGGCTTTATTGTATTTTCAGCTAATGAGCCGTTTGTAGACATATATTTGTACTATTTCTCACTGAAATGTGAGTTAAATTAAACTGGTATTATTTTGTAAATTATATCATAATTCAATTTGGGGGGGCACAAAATACATTTGGGGGGGCATTGCCCCCTAATGCCCCCCCATAGCGCCGGCACTGGTGAAAAGTTTGGACACGCCTACTCATTATTTCTTATTACCCTTTTCCACATTTTATTATTAAAGTAAAAATATCAAAAAAATAACACAACTGTAAATATGGAATTATGATGCCAAAAATGTTTAACAAATCAAAGCTATCTTCTTTTAAACAATGGATGCTTTTTAAACATTAATGTTGACATGCTTTTCGTTCTCTATCTGCTCCAATACATCCATTTAAAAATAAACTATTAGTTTTGAACAGCAATTATGTGTAGGCAACTTGCATTAGTATTTAAGGGTTAATAGGGTTGTAAAATCTTGAGAAATATAACTTCTGTCAATTGTTTCCAGACTTTGACTGGTTATTAGTTGCATGTAATACCAGCCAAGCGAAAGAGTTAACCAGTAATGCATTCCAGTCCAGATTAGAGCCCCTTGTCTAGCTATTTGAATTTAAGCTTCAAATCAGGGTTATTTTGCTTTGTTGTTGTCTGGAATTCCTGTTAGAAGAGGGATTGTAGTATTTGCATAAAAACTTAATGACAGGTCTCTAGTTTATTTTTCACTCAAAAAAAGTAAATCCTGTCATCATTTACTCACCCTCATATTACAAACATGGACAAAAATCTAAAATGACATGATGACAGGGTTTTCAGGTACAGGCGAAATATTCTTTACAATTTCACAACCATGCAAGCTGACTCATCTGACTAATTGCCAATATCTCAGGTAGATATGACTTTGAGATATGACTAAGGCTTTGGAGCCTCTCCTTCTCTTTAAGTATATATGAATGCTGTATTATTCTAAGCAGATTAGATATATAATATGCAGAACTAAAGAGAATGTGTTACAGGTGTAACTGATCATTTTCTAAAAAGGTCATATTTCATCCGGAATACAATTCTATCTGCTCCAGTGACAAAATACAGACTGACAGGAAAAAAATCAATATGGAACTCCTTGGAATATCAGAGAATTGCAAAGTTTTAATATAAATAAAGTAGGGCTGTCAAACGATTAATCACATCCAAAATAAAAGTTTGTGTTTACATAATATATGTGCGTGCACTGTATATATATATATATATATATATAAATGCACACACATGCATGTATATTTAAGAAAAAATATTATTTATGTATAAAATATTTATATTTATTTTAGGGCTCTGCAACGATTATTCGTGATTAATCGCATCCAAAATAAAAGTTTGTTTAGATAATATATGTGTCTGTAGTGTGTATAACTATTTTGTATATATAAACACACACACATGCATGTATATATTTGAGGAAAATGTGTTGTTATTATATCAAATATTTATATCAGGGCTGTCAAGCGATTAATCGCATCCAAAATAAAAGTTTGTGTTTACATAATATATGTGGGTGCACTGTGTAAAATTATTTTGTGTATATATATATATTATTTATATATAAAATATTTATATTTACAAATCATATAAATTATACATAAATCTATATGCAGTATATACATGAAAATATTTCTTAAATATACACAAGCATGTGTGTGTATTTATATATACAAAATAATTATACACAGTACACCCACATATATTATGTAAACACAAACTTTTTTTTGGATGCGATTAATCGTGATTGACAGCCCTAAAATAAAGTCAATAAACATGTTATTCTTGTAAATCTCATAAAATTAAAATGTATTTTTATTAAGAGGGAAATAAAGCAACTGGAAAAGAAACTCATTGGTCAGTACACAGTCCTCGGTCATGTCAACACATCAAAGTAAAATGCAAAGGACAAGTACAGTATGTGCAGCAGCAGATGGGCTGGGGGTGGAGAGGTAAACAATACATTTGTTTCGCTTTATTGCTCTGAGACATCTACTGGGGAGGGGGGTGAGATAAACATATCATGCATGTAACTACAGATATGACACACCTGTATGCACATCACCTGCTCTTGCCATATATGGCCCTGAGTGAATGAACATAGAGAGAGATAAAAGTGCAAGGGTTGTAAAGTAGAGAGAGAGGGAGCCGCGCAGTCTCCACCACTTTCTGTAAACCAGCAGCACCTTTACCTGGCTGCGTCCTTCTCCATTGCTCCGGTGGCAGGTGAGTTCCTCTTTTTCTCACTCTTTCCATTGCAGAAGAGACCTTTAGCTTTGACGATGCTCATTAAAGTGATTCATTAGCCAAGCGGACTGTAAAAGTTGACCCTGCAAAAGAAGAAAAAATTAAAACCATGTTGTTTGGCGAATAATGCAACAGTGCTTCTTATTTGAAATAGATGTTTATTCAGAGATTGTTTGCCTTAATATTTATCATTAATCATTAGTTTTAATTCCCCTTCTAATATTAGCAGCAAAATATAATAAACTGTCTTTAAACATTCAATATATTTCATTATATCTATTGGGTTACACTTTGTTTTACAGTTACAGTGTACTTGCCCAGAAAGGTTAAGGTTAGGTTTAGGGGTTACCCAACCCAGTTACTACAGTTGCTATAAGTAGTACTTTACAGTACTTTTACAGTGTATAAGTAGTACTTTACAATACTTGTGCAGTGTATAAGTGGTACATTATGCGGAACAGGACTGTAAAATAAAGTGCTACCATCTATTGAATCGATTAACTGATTCATTTGAAGCATTTTACATATGGACAACACATACATATAGATTTATATGTAAAATATTCTCAAAAACTTGTGTGTCTCAATGAATATCTGGTGACCAAAAGCGTCCATTGTATATACCGGCTTTATGCTTGAATAACCGGACAACATGCTATTTTTTGCCTATGTTACAATTTGTATTGCATAATCTGATGTGCTTTGGACTGAAGGTTGGATTGGCCATGGTGGGCAGTTTACAGGAAGAATATTAATCAAGCTTATAGAGAAGGAGGTGGAGATGAGACATGTACACAGCACTGTCAGGCCTGATCAAACACTGAGCGGTTACATAAAAACTCTGCACACTTTCCTGTTTGTTCTGACACACTAATACTGAGGGCAGATAATTCATGATACGCTGTTGTAATGGTAACGGCAGAGAGGAGCCATTATTGCACTAACGACATAACTTTAAGATTTAGTTAGGAAATATGAACCTTTGCACTGGGCAGAGGGTTTGTGATCAGTGACTTAAGGGTTGGTGCAATCTGCTTGTACTAGAGAGAGCGATACAATCCCTAATAAAACCCAACCATCCAATCAAACGAGGGAGATTGAGTCATCTGTATTATCACACCATATCATCTGCAAGGTATCAGGGAAACATAAAAAGATGTAGATAAGAAAGCTCATAAATGTGGGATGTGCAAACAGAAATTGATCCTCTTGGGTGTGTGTGTAGATACTGTATGTATGTATGCATGTATGAGTTGTCAATAATGAGCGGCTCGCTGTACACAATTTGACTTTTGGTATACGATGTTGTCACTTTGGTCCTGGAGGATTAGATCTGCTAAGCTGTTGACTATTGTTGCTGCTGCAGAGCAATTGTGGAATTGCTACTGCTAAATATGTAAGATATGCACCATAAATAGAGATATATAAATCATGTAGCAAATTTAGGCAGGTGGAGCTGGGGGAAGTGGAGGGTTTCTGATAGCAACCCTAAGACTGATGCTGCGTTCATGTGCTGTGGTAATTATGGTAAATACCAAAAGCCGACGTGGAAAATGCACATGAACACCCTCTCGTGTGGTATTTACCACTGGGCAACTCGTAGAATATTTTGATGGACGAGTTGCCGAGATGAGATAACCTTTGACCATTTCAAAATGGCGGAGAGCACCGCGAGAGTCGTGAATGGTAAAAACAAATTATATACTATTCATGATCTAGAAAATATACAGCATATTATTTACCTTTTGAGTTTTGATAAATCATTTTCTTGCTGTAGCAGATGACCTAAACAATCTAAAATAGTTTTAGCTAAATAACAGGTCTGGATCTTCATCTTTTTACCACATTACGACAACAAAAGCACTTGAACGCAACACACTGGTAAATACCAGTTCACAAGTGGAAAATATCCTATTTTCCATAGCACGTGAACGCAGCATGACTCTGATAGAGTGCTGAGGACTACAGGCCCCGTCCACACTACTGCGTTTTCGTTAAAAAACGGAGAATTAAAACGAATACAATCTCCGTCCACGCCAGTATTTTATCTGTGTATTATAAATGATCTCCGTCCACATTAAAACGACTGAAAACGCGGATCACGTGACCATTCACCAACACTGGGCATGCGCGTGCCGGTGTAAACAGTGATTGACGAATCAGGGAAGGATACGTCATGACTAATAACACCCAATCATGGAGCCGAGTGTCAGCCCCTGCGTTAGCGTTTCTGAAGTCCTACGTTTCGTCTCGTCCACACTAAAACGCCCTCCGGAGATTCAAAACGCAAAACGGAGCTGCAGCGTTTCTAAACTTCTCCGTTTTAGGTCTTCGTTTTTCCCGTTTTAGTCTGGACGGGAGGTGCAAACGTAGCAAAAGGTCTTCGTTTTTTAAACGAAAACGCAGTAGTGTGGATGGGGCCTATAGTCAGCAAACACTAAACCAGATTTAAATGTTGACCAAGCAATCTTATTGGGGTGTTGGATCAGCAAAGGCCAATCAGCTTGTGCCATGTGGTAATGTGATTGCTTGTAGATGACTGAGCTATATACTGTATGATTGATGAATACACATTACATTGTCTCAAGCCAAGTTCACACTACAGGATTTTAAGCCCGATTTAAGCCTGATTTGCAAATCGTGGAGCTCGCCGACAGGTCAGGGTGTTATCGCGTGCAAATCGCGGGGGATTAGCGGACGATGAACGCTTGCCAATCTGTTAGCATGAAAGAGCCAACAACGCAGCGAAGACGCTCGCAGATGCCTCGCAGATGCGTCACCAAGCCCAGAAAAATATCTAGCATGCTAGATATCCAGAGCCATTGTGCGACTCAACCTCAGTGATGTCATGAGCTCAAGCCAATCAGAGCAAGGCATGGGTTGAGGTCACCCATGGTAAATCTTATGTTTTCTTTTTTTTTTTTTTTGCATTTTTTTCTGAGCAAATCATCGCACAAAAAGTGTGCAGCACTAGTTTCTGTCTCACATCCATATTCGCGTGTTGTGTTCTTCTCTTCTCGTCATTTCTGGTTCGTTTTATTGCTGATTTTTTGTGACAAAACGTGGTTTGTAGACAAGATAGAATCGTTGGGTGACACAGTTGTTTTCAACTCGTTATTTATTTGATTATTTTCAGGATTTAGACCGTACATAGTACTGAAACAGCTCTCATTAGAGTCACAAATGATTTGCTCGTATCATCCGATCGTGGTTGTATCTCTATGCAGTGCGTTGTCAACTCGTGTAGTGCGTTACCTCCTGTTGTAGATCAATCACGTTGTGTTGTGTGGTGTGAACAGCTAAACAACTTGAATTGAATAAACAACTTGAACAGCTAAACTGCTGATTTTACAGAGAGCAAGTCATGTAGTGTGAACCGCACAGTTCAGCCCGACGTTTTAAAATCATGTAGTGTGAACAAGGCTTTAAAGACATGAAATTACATTAGCGTTTCATGTAGGAGCTGTTATCAGGTGTGATGACCCCACATGATCTGAGCTTCCTGCCTCATTTGTTAAACACAACACCAAAGAAATGCAACTGTCCGAAAATAGATGATAGCGATCAAGCACTGGCAAGTTTTTTTTTACTTATTTTTTTATATCATTACGGAACCAGGATGTAGAAATGAGGACAGAGGTAATGGACGGGAGGATAGGATGGAAAGTATTTGGTTGATCCTTTAACATGAAAAGCAATGGCTTTGAAACAGGCACTATTCCCTCACTAACCACAATGTTTGCAGTATACTGTATTTAAACAGAGGGGTAGTATGCACACAACAACGACAAAGCAAACACAATATAATCAAATTTACAGTCCCCTGACTATAATAACTTCCTTTAGAACATTATTATCACATGTTACCTGGGACAATGTAAAAATAATTAATATAATAAATAATAAAAGTGGACTAGACAACATTATTATCTTTATTATTAGAAAAAAATTATTAGAATATTCATCTTTCAATTATTAAAATCTATGCTGATTAAATCAATACCCATTTCAGTCCAAAAAATATTAGTATTTTGTATGTATTTCAGTAAAATATTTGAATATTGATTTTAAATAAGATGTAATCATTTCAAAACCAAAAATATACATTTAGATTTGTTTTCAGATAATATATAATTAAAGTTAAAAAATAAAGGAAATAATTAAAATGAAATACACATTTTGCATAAAAATCAAGCCTATTTTAGGACGATTTTTGCATTTTGACATTATTTTATTACAATTAAGCACCTTTTATTCACCAAGAATCATCTTGAATTAAGTTTTTTATTCCATATTTAATGCATCACATTTAATGTCACAAATGAAATCTAAATATATTTAGTGAGGTTTATACTTTAAAAAAAGACAAAGAAAGAAAAAAATGTGGGGCTAAAAAGACTAAAAGAGAAAAGAATATTCTTAAAATAAACTATGAATACAAAAATATGGCATTTAAAAAAATGTCCTTCTCAAGTAAACGTATCTTGTTATAAGGATGTTCATGTAGAAAACAAAACAGACATGCTGGTTAAGAAACAAATATTTGCAGTCAACAGGGTTGGAAGTATGTGCTCACTTGTAGTAGGCTATTGTATTGTAGTATTGTAGGTCTTGATCACACCCTGACATCTCAGCCACACTTAAAGATATCTGCTCTATCTGTGAGGGCGTATTTTACTACACATTTGCATGAAATATGACATGAGGTTTTCATTTCCTTTCCCAGGGCCGTCTGACCATCTTTCTTCCGCAACTAGGGTTTCAAATAGCTTTAGGTTCTGGGTTTACTAATGCATGATAAACTGAAGAGCAATCAAATGCATGAAACTTTAGGCCACACCCTATGCCTTTAAGCCAACAGAAAATAAATCATTAAGCAAGCATTTATAGAGACCATGGCCATAAACAACAAAGCCATATTATAGTTAACATATTTCATTATTAGTTTAAAAAGGTCATTCATTGGAAGTCTTTTCTTTCCTTCAAGTCTATGTACTGTAATATCAAATACAGCATGTTTTTGAAAAAAAAATGCATATAGAGTAAATAATAATAATATTCTTTTTATTGGGAACTGTACCTTTACTATTATATTCTATACAGTGAGGTCAGATCAAGGAAAAGGGGTAAATAAAATTTCACAGTATCTGTATTTGATTCTAGGAAACATTTTGTCTCACTGAATTCAAGTAATTCCTATCCAACCCTCCCTTTTTCTCTCTTCCAGGTATTTCGCTGATACTTTAAGCTGGCACCATGCCACAGGACCAAGTCAAGACCGATGTTCCCAAAGCCCTCAATAAAACCACACCAGGACTTCAGATATGGAGAGTGGAGGTAAGCAGGAATGATTGACAGCAAAGCTACTTTGTCAAATCAGTGCATTCATATCTCAGTTACTGACATTTTAGCAAATCACTAATCAGTCGCCTGTTTAATCAATGCTCAGAACATGGAGCTCGTGCCCTGTCCATCTAACACATTTGGACAGTTTTTTGAGGGAGACAGCTATGTAATACTTTACGTAAGTATCAGTGCTAAGTGCCCTATAATTAACTCAAGTGCTTTTGAGCTGACAACCTTACAGGTCAATGAACGAATGAGTGCACTAAAAAATTATCTCATTTTTCAGACCCACAAGACCAGCAACCACTACTCCTATGACATTCATTATTGGCTGGGCAAGTCCACCTCCCAGGATGAGCAGGGAGCAGCAGCGATATACACCACGCAGATGGATGAGCACCTAGGGGGGGCCGCTGTGCAGCATCGTGAGGCCCAGGGCCACGAAAGCGCCACTTTCCAAGGATACTTCAAACAGGGCATCATGTAAGCCATCCTGGATTACCTTGGATGAATCTAATCAAAATATGTAAACATCACACTTCACTCCAAAATCAGGATAATAATAATTAAAGCTGCAAGCAGCATATATCGGGGTTCAGGTGTTAAAGGCCTTAAAGGGACATTCCACCCATTTGGATTAAGATTTCCATTGTTAGAAATCCAGTCATACTATTGAATGGTCATACAACACTCTCATTTCCCCTGAGACGAGAGAAATCCGCTATTTACCTTTTTCACTTCCTCCTACAATGACGCAAAATCGTCATTTTACGTCATTGTAGGAGGAAATGTAATGCTGCTTTCACACCGGACGCGAACAGTGCGTCAAATTCGCATCTACCACGTCTAGTTTGACGCTTGACCACTTTGTGTTAATTCGTGCATCAAGACTGAAACTGACGCACGTAAAAACAAAAGTTTGAAAAAGTTCTTCACCACGTGAGCAAGCAGCAGACTCTGATTGGTTAACGCAGTGCGAATTTGACACCAGATTTTTCAACTCGGGCGGCAGAAGCAAATTTGCGTCAAACGTGTAAATGCACAAATAGCACTAACTAAATCATTCGCGCTTAATGCGCCAGACGCTCAATTCGCGGCAATCGCACGAATGAGGCGTATTCGTGTCTACCGTGCTCTATCGCTCTACGCCTCAGTTGCACCGCAAGAAAATTTTTGCGCGCTTTTCTTTGCATAAACTTAACATTGAAATCATTCGCACCTGACACGCTATTCGCGTCCGGTGTGAAAGTACCATAAGAGGGGGAATTTGTGTAAAGACTACAAGCAGTTCCCACCATTTCAAACCCATTTCAGACCCTAACATGTTCTTGACAGAAGTCATCCCTATATAGTACATAAACTAAACTTTTCAAGGGGAGTTCCAGTTCATCATGTTATTTCATGCACAGTGCATATATTTTCCTTCAACAGTAATTTCCGCAAATGAACTTCTTTATTTTAGGATGCTGCGTGATAAGCAAATGACAGAATGCTTCTCTTCTCTTAGTCACAAATAATTTAAAAAAATGGGGAAGATTACAAAAATAGACTTCCTTCCATTCAGTTTCCAAGAAGTAGTTACAACTAATCAGGCTGTTAATCTCATTATTCTAGATACAAAAAAGGTGGAGCCGCATCTGGGATGAAACAAGTGGAGACGAACACGTACAACATTCGCAGACTGCTGCATGTGAAGGGAAATAAGCATGTGGTTGCAGGAGAGGTAAGAATAGCCCCAGTCAGATCACAATAGACGAACTCAGACCCACTACATCAATACGTGCTGACAGACAGTGCTGTGAAAAGCCTCCATCTAGATTGTCTGACTTTTAACTACTTCTTTTTTCCATGCGTCAGCTACACAAAAACCAACCACCGACATCATGCCTAAAATATTAACACCCACTTAACAAAGGCTTAAAGTCATCCAGTCCATGTACATTTTGATAACACTTCTTGAGGGGTGAGCATAAGACGGACGTGACACTTTCATAATCATGACATAACACTGGTTTATGCATGTTTATGACAACCGTCATTAAAGCAGCATTAGGTAACTTTTGAAATTTTGCTCTCGGGGTCCCCTACAGTTGGGAAACAGTATTGTCTTCTACTACTGTCGTAAAATCTGTCATGGTTACACTAGGGAATACACGCGTGCATTTGTTGACAAACGATACCCCCAAACTCTTCAGAAGGAAGGAGTTCTCATCTTGGGCAGACTCCAGTGTTGCGTGAAATGTCTTCATCCCAGGTACATTATTATTATTTTTGTCAAACGGCAAAAGATTGCATAGCTCACGTTTACAAGTCAGCGTCTTTATAGTAACGTTAGCCTATTGGCTACTGTTTTACATAATGGATATGCTAATTCAATTCAATGTTTGTGTGGTAGGTAATAGCCATATCGTCAATATTATAATATCAAGCTACCATAGATGAATCTGCAAATTTGGAAAATCGATTTGCATTATAGCCTGAGGCAAGACACTTTCACCAGAAAAATAAATAAACAATCATGACTATCAGCCTCCAGACAAAGGATAGTTTTCCTGACCGACTATTTTGTCTGTCTAATCATGTATTATAAGAATGTAGCCCCTACCAAACTTGTACACACCGTTAAGAAATAGGCTTACTGATTTTTTTAGTTTTTGACGGCCAGCATCGGTCGGGCACCCCTCCTCCTCCTTTAGCTCACGCCAGCGAGCGAACGCTGGACCAATATTGATCCTCGTCCTGCCTTTTATTTGGTCGCTCTACCTTTTCTCTTTCTACGGTCCTCCAACAAAACCTTTGGCTTCTTGGTTTTGCTTGCTGCTTCAGGCATGACAACATACAGAGGTAAAAAACAAAACAAAAAACGCTCGTTGGTCTTGCGCGTTAGAATTTGATGAAGTGGGGGAAGTGACGTATGCCGTAAAGCAGTCGAATTTTGTAGTTTTTTTTTTTTTTGTGTGTGTGCTTGGGTTCCTACCCGAAACCTGAAGTTACATAGTGCCAGTAAAAGCGATACAAACACTGTCAGGCTGCAGACCTGTCATTCAATCCATATTGTAAGTCAATGTACCATCACAAGGGTTTTGGAAAAATATTATAAAGAATGAAAAAGTTACATAGTGCTGCTTTAAGTGTCATTCGCTCAATTATGACATTATTAATCTAAATATAACATTGTTTGAGATGTCTGTTATGACAACTGGATGTAAACCAATACATCATAACCTGTCAGTCTGATTATACATAGCTTGCGTTACTTGAAATCTCCCAAAAAGTGTAAATTATGAGGCTCAATCCCTCTGTGTTTAGGTGGAAATGAGCTGGAACAGTTTTAATAAAGGTGATGTGTTCCTGCTGGACCTCGGGAGCCTGATCATTCAGTGGAATGGGCCCAAGAGTAACCGAATGGAGAGGTTAAGGGTAAACCATTTAAACTGACCATTAAACTGATTTAGCAATGTAAAGTATCACATTATTGATGCTGAAGGTATTACCACATATGCACCGCAATCAAACTGAAGGCTTTTTATAGGGAATGAACCTAGCGAAGGACATCCGTGACCGAGAGAGAGGTGGACGAGCACAAGTGACTGTAGTGGAAGGAGATGATGAGAAATCTTCTGAGGATGCCATGAAAATGATGAAGCAGGTATTGGGGGAGAAAAGAGAGATCAAAGATGCCATCCCAGATCAGATCGTTGATGAGAAACTGAAGACTGCCATTAAACTCTTTCAGTGAGTTACATTTGAAGCTGTTTTATGAATAGTCTTGCTGCATTATTTTGTAGAAAAATATGCGCTGCAACTAAAATAATCTTTTGTGAAAAGTATTTCAGATGCTGAGGGGAACCTTGTAGTGCAAGAGGTGGCAGTGAAACCTCTCACACAAGACCTACTAAAAACTGAGGTATGACTAATCCTGACCTCTTAACCAACCTACACACCACAGCATAAAACAAGTCTGTGCAAAGGTCAAGTTGATAGCACAGGATATAGTGATGCACATTATAGTCACTTACACCAATGTCACAGTGTACAGTTTCATTTCATTAATCACAGCTGGGAGGGACACATGTGATGGGTCATAAAATAGTGCGCCAAGGATGTAGTAGTTAAAGGAAAAAAATTTTATTGATTTTTTTTGTTTGTTTCAGATGCATAGCTTATTACATTATTGTATTTTGATACAAGATTATGAAGACAAACTTTTGTATTTTGATATTTTTTTAAATAGCATGCACCAATGAATTGTGCACAATAAGACCATCACTTCAATAGAAATCCAATCAGATTTCATGACTTGAAATGGAAAACAAGCAAGTTGTATGTTATGCAAGATGGACAGCTATCCAAATGCAAAATATTACAAGTGTATAATTTTGGTACACAAGAGCCATCCATGGCTGTTGTTACACCGCATTAAGACACTAGTAGCACGTAGTATAAATGTATGACAACAAGTGAAATCTGATTCCTGTGCCAGGACTGCTATCTGCTGGATCAAGGTGGAATAAAGATCTTTATCTGGAAGGGCAAAAAGGCATCAAAAACTGAAAGGGCAGAGTCTCTGAAGAAAGCAGAGGTGAGTCCAGACTATTCAAATCCTTTTTCACCAAGTTTGTATACGTATTTGTGCGTAAAAACTTAAGTGTGAATAACGTCAAGCTGAAATTATGATGTATCGTCAACTAATTTATTGTTCAAGTCCATAAAATCCAAGTCTTTAAGTTATCCTCTGGTACCATTTCCGCGAACATTAAAACAATTGTACAATTATTAGTGAATAATGCCCAATATGTCCATAGTATATTGCACCAATGATGAATGTAACCATAGCAAATTATCGTGAAAGACTCACTTTATCATCTCACTTAATATTCTATTGTTCTAGGCCTACATAAAGGCAAAAGCCTATCCTGCATCCACCAATGTAGAGACTGTGAGCGAAGGAGCAGAATCATCAGTGTTCAAGCAACTCTTCCAGAAGTGGACAGACAAGGGACAGACAGCTGGAATGGGAAGCACACACAGTCCAGGGAAAATAGGTGAGTGTACTAGTGTAAAAACGACACTAAAGAACACTACTAAAGAAGCAGAAGTAATGGTAAAAACAGATGTCCAGGAGATTAAAAAGACAAAGGTTCAGGAGCTTGTAAAAATAGTGAAATATAAATTAGTCTTTGTAATAGTTAAAAATTACAAAAAAAAAAAATATATATATATATAAATGGTTCAGCAATGCAATGTTTGGGAAGTTCCTTTAAAGCTCATAGCTTTTCCAGCTAGAGTTTAACTTTAAATACAGTCAAGCTCATCCTTTGAAATAGTAGTTAGCTGTACTACAATTTGCAAACAAAAAGTAGCTAACCATTTGTGTATATGTGTGTTTTGAAAACGGCTTTAAATAGTCCACTTCTGCATCGCTACTTTTAGTCGTCAATGACTTACGCAGAAGAACTTGGGTTTAAGATTAAGGTAGTGTTCATACAGGATGCACGCTCATGTTTAAAAAAAACAGCTGTGGTGAGATGCTGATTAAAAAAAAACATTCCTCTACCCTGTGTTCATAGGCTAATTGAAAAATAGCACGGTGCATCCTGTATAAACAACCCCTTAGAGACCCATTTCCCATTCTACATGACTCTGACTCTATTCATTTTATGATTGCTTTCCGTAGCCAAGGTTGAGCAGGTCAAATTTGACGCCACCTCTATGCATGCAAGACCTGACTTGGCTGCACAGCAGAAAATGGTGGATGATGGGTCAGGCGAAGCCGAGGTCAGTGAAATGTCCTTTTATTGCCTTTCATGCATCTTAGTAAACAGAACTCATTACATAAGTGTGTTCATCCCTCAGGTATGGAGGCTTGAGGACAATGAGCTTGTCCCTGTGGAAAGGAAGTGGCTCGGCCACTTCTACGGAGGGGACTGTTACCTTATTCTCTACAAATATGAAGTCAACAGAAAAATGCACTACATTCTGTACATGTGGCAAGTAGGTGCATCTTCCTCTCTCATTTTCTCACTCCCTGTACTCTACCTTTCAAAAGGGTTTTTAATGTTTTTTAATGTTTAATTTTTAAAAAAAAAATTAAAAATTTTAAAAATGTTAACCCAGGCTACAGTTATTTAACCGAAAAACAGTAATATTGTAGAATATTATTAGAATAATTTAAAGTAATTATTTTCTTTTTTAAATATTTTTAAAATGTTTAGGGGCGCCATGCAAGCACGGCAGAGCTGACAGCCTCTGCATATCAGGCTGTGATTCTGGACCAGAAGTACAATGGAGAACCGGTGCAGGTCCGCGTCCCCATGGGAAAGGAGCCCATGCACCTAATGGCCATTTTCAAGGGCAAAATGATTATTTATGAGGTAGGTCTGTCAAACTGTTGCTCTCTAAGAAACACTTGGGCATGTCATCTGTTGTAACTTGTAACAATGGAAACCCAAAACCCAAACACACTTCCTGTTTTAGGAATGATTATGTTTCTGTTCTTAAAACACTACCAGAAAATAAATAAATAATATATATATATGCACACATGTACATGCATGTATACATGCAGTATATAGTATATAGCAAAACGTAAGAAGTGCAACAGCTTGCCAATGGGGCAGTACCTTAAAGATACAACTTTGTCCCATATAAAATAAAGGTGCATATTAGGACCTAAGGGGGTCATATTATTACCTTAAGATACCAATATGCACCCTTTAAGGTAGATATGGATATGATTGGTTCAATGACAAGCTAATTTTTTATTTTTTTCACATTGCACTTAGTACAGCTTAACTTCCTGAAAAGAGTAAAATGTGTGGCGCCTTCAAAACAATTGAGGTGGGATTGTCAAAGAGTGTTTTGGTAATAATTGTTGCTGCTAGAGGTGCAGAAATGACCCACTTACCATATATTTCTCACTCATGTGTTGTTGTGATTGCACAGGAAGGAAGTTCCAGAGAAGGCCCCTCCCATTCTCAGCCACCAGTAAGATTGTTTCACATCCATGGAACGAATGAGTTCAACACGCGTGCCACTGAGGTGACTTCACGTTCATCTTCTCTGAACTCCAATGACGTCTTTGTGCTCAGCACAGATAAGTGCTGCTACCTGTGGTATGGCAAGGTCGGTAGAGTTTAATGCTAAAAACATTTGACATATTTCAAAAGATATTTCTGAAAAAGTACAGGAGCACCAGTCACGTCTTAACATTACCTTGCAGGGCTGCAGTGGAGATGAGAGAGAGATGGCCAAATCACTGGCTGACATCATATCCAAAAGGGAGAAAAATGTTATTGCAGAGGGTCAGGAACCAGCTGACTTCTGGGTAAACCTTGGTGGAAAGTCCCAGTATGCCAGCAGCAAAAGGTACAGCAACAAATGCACACTGCACAAATGATTATGGTTCACTTCCAAAATCTGGTGAGCTGTTAATTGAAAGCCGTTTTAATTTTGTTTATATCATTCACAATGCTTAATGGGATTGTAGTTCTTTCCCTTATTGAATCAGTTAAGTACTCTGTCTTTGTCTTTTTTGCTTCAAATAAAAAACAAGTTTTGTGTAATGTTTGGCTTGGTTCATGACTTAAAATGCTTTAACAAAGACATTTAAAAAATGAAAAGTGAAATAATACTTCCGGTCCGAAACCAATGCCACAGAAAAAGTTGGCAGGCACTGTTCATTGCTCACGTGAAAAACAAAGGAAACTGGACTGGAGGAAATTGATTTCAATAGTGTTTAGCATTGTGCCATGCATTTCGCCATTGCTTTCATTGCAAAGGAAATGATATATGTGATTCCACATAGACAGTTTTGGGACACAGCCAATAAGTTTCTCCCATTCTCAGACTTCAGGATGAGACAACTAGTGTTACGCCCCGGTTGTTTGAGTGCTCCAACCAGACGGGACGCTTTATAGCGACAGAGATTACGCACTTCAACCAAGATGACCTGGATGAGGATGATGTGATGTTGCTGGACATCTGGGATCAGGTGAATGTCAGGGTGGTTGTCTCTTTGTGCAAATGTTCAAATCGTTTTCATCCCACTAGAAATCACAGCACAATTATGTTCTGTTAGGTGTACCTGTGGATCGGTAAAGGTGCCAATGACAAGGAGAAGAAGGAAGCAGTGGTTACAGCACAGGAATATCTCAAGTCCCATCCTGCAGGGCGTGACCTGGAGACACCTATCCTTGTGGTCAAGCAAGGGTTTGAGCCGCCCACCTTTACAGGCTGGTTCTATGCTTGGGACCCACAAAAGTGGAGTGTAAGTAGCTGACATGACTTTCTTTTGGCATGACAACTTATTTCACAAGTGTATGGTACAGAAGATGAATGTTTGTTACTGTCTTTTAGGGTGGGAAATCCTACGACCAGCTTAAATCAGAGCTTGGAGATGCAACTGATCTTATCAAAATTACTGTCGTAAGTTCCTAATTGTTTTTATGGGCTTAAATGGTAAAACGTGATGCTAGCAATGTCAATGTCCTAGGTTGAATGACCTAGGGGATGCAGGAACTGATAAACATGTACGGTATAACTTGAATGCTCTTTAAATTGCTCAGGGCAAAAAGCCTGCAAAATGCATAAATGTTACGTGAATCTTGTGCACAGGATCTGACCCAACCAACCTCAAATCAAACCAACTCAAGTAACTCAACTCAAGGGGTTATGATAGCCCGTCCTGTCACGCAAACCTTCCCTCCAGAGAAGCTGGTGAACACTCAGACAGAAGACCTGCCTGAAGGAGTCGACCCCACAAGAAAAGAGGTAAACTCGTGATCTACAGATGTCCTTTTCATTCACTCTAGCAAATGAAAAATAAACACTGCCAGTGTCCCCAAAACAATAAACTGTTACGGTTAACAAGTGGGTAATACTAAGCTAAATGGCTAATACTAAGATAAATCAGATATATGTAGAATATATGTGTACAATAACATTGCCATGTCCAGCAATTGATTTAAATACATTAGGTTTAATTTGTCGTTTAATGAGATCTAATATACTAAACAAAATTATAAACACAACACTTTTGTTTTTGCCCCCATTTTTCATAAGCTGAACTCAAAGATTTAAGACTTTTGCTATGTACACAAAAGGCTTATTGCTCTCAAATATGGTTCACAAATCTGTCTAAATCTGTGTTACTCATATAGTATAGTTTTTTTTTCTCATCAAAACTGAATATGCATGCCCATAAGTAGTTGTATATCAAGCTGAGACACATTTGTGTGCATTTTGTTTTGTGATTTCACTAGAATATTATAATAATATTACAATTTAAAAAAAAAACATTATAGGCCTTTTTAAGGGGGGTGGTGAAATGTGACCTGGACAAGTTTTAATAAGAATGATCTATTGATAAAACTAACACACACCTTTATCATCTGTGCAGGACTATCTCTCAAACGAAGACTTCGCCCTGATCATGGGGATTTCTCGGATGGATTTCTATGCTATGCCGTCCTGGAAGCAACTAAATGTGAAGAAACAAAAGGGCCTGTTTTAGGATGGAAAACATGGTACAGATTGTACACAAATACAGTCCTTTTCTACAAAACAGACTTCCTCTCGCTAGACTGTATGAATAGTAGTGGTGCCATGCAAAAACACTACAGTCAGGATCATTTTAGAGTTTTTAGATTTACATGTTTACATATAATTGCTTTATTTAAATATATTTTTGCACATGCAAATTGATTTATTTGAAATTGCTGTATTTGAAGTTAATGTTATAAAGCAGAATTGATTAGTACCTATAATTTTATAACAGAAAAGGAGATATGGGAAAATGAAGCTCGTAGGTCTTTTTTACAGCGATTATTGAACCTGCTTTGTGAACTTTGATTTTAATCTTTCGTTAATGCATCTCAATGGGATACCTTCAAGCACTGACTAAAAGCTGCTTTTTACACAAGTGGCTTAAGCACTATAATAAAATTTAATATATTTGAGCCAAGATAAAAGTTTTTAAGTGAGGTTAATCATGTATAGTGTTAATTACTGGAGGAGACTGTATACTGTCTAATGTGTAATTTCCATTGGTATTAATCATTTACTGTATACAAGAGGCACACCACCTGTCTAATGGAAAAGTCAATAAACAGAAAAAAGACCTCATTGAAATGGAAAATCTTTTGTTACCTCTTTGCTAATGCAAATATTATACATTAACTCATGCACACTATCAATAAGGCACAGCAAAACTCTTTGTGTGGCCCTGAGCAAAGCATTTGCATCTTAATCTAACAAAACAGCAAACTTGTAACAAGTACCGTTCTTATTTAAATAGCTTAGAGATCAAAGCTTGAGAATAGAAGTCAAATTATGACTGCAACTAGTCACTCGGGAAAGCTATCCGATGCTTAAAGCTGCAATACCTAAGATTTAGATGCCGCTAGAGGGCGCTACATTCAAAACAACAACAACGGCTTTGCTTGATGACGAAGTGGAGGAACGCGGAATGATGGGAACTGTTGTTTTCAACTCCACCGTGGATAAATCAGTCAGACGGGAATCGAAAATTAGTTGTCATGGATGAGGTAAAGTTCGATTTCTATAAACGTTGCATTTAATGACATGCTTGTTTTTCATTAAACTGAAATAACCGCAAGAAAAGTCAGGTTTAAAAGTAAATTAGTTACTGTACGAGTCACTAGACGAAGCTATGGTGGAGAGGGTTTGAAGGGGCAGGTCTCTTGCAAGGAGTTGACGTGGCTGGTCCTCCTTGGTAACTTTATAAAAATAAAAAATCAATTTAATGTACATTTGACACATCTTTTCATGTCGCGTAAGTATACAACCACAGCTACAGTTTCACAAAATTAACGTTAAGGGGGTCGCACACCGGACGAGAAGCTGCAGCGCCGCGTCGCGCCACATCTTTAAAATTCGAAAACATTATTATCTATAAGTGTAACGTTACACATACCGGCAGCGCCATTCGGCGTCTGTCCGCGGCGCCCAGCAACAACGCCTCAGGACCATGTTCAAAATCCTGCTGCGCCACAGAGCGCCATTTACATAGTTTTATATAAAATTTGTATTATTTTTGTCTCAAATCGTTGCTAATGGATCCTGACTTCGCCCTATGCTGCAATATGCATTTAGTTTTGCAGTCATTTACAGAAATCAGCTGCTTGAATGACAATTGCTGATGTTATTATTAGATTTTTCAGGTGAGATTCTCAATTCATTCAGTGAACGGATTATCTGAGGTAAAGTTTTCAGAATGCAGACTCAGCAACGATTGTATTTAATTGTACAGTACAATCATAACATAGAACAGACATTATCTTCATTTCATGTCATTAAACATAACAATATTGCTGGCCATACACTGATGAGAAAGTGCGCGTCCGGTGTTCGATAACGTTACTGTGGAGTTGTCCTAAACGTGGCGCGACGCTTCTCGTCCGGTGTGTGACCCCCTTTACAGCCAACAGTTCACATTCCGAGAATAAATGAAAAGAATAATTGTGCTCCATTCCATAACAAATGCGCGAAACAAGCTGACGTTTGTTGCTTGATAGACGCTAACGCACAACAACAACTACCGCATTTGTCCAGGACTACACGTAGTATGAGCGGAAACCGAGGTAAGCGGATATGACGCGATTGACTGGCGACTCCCAGCTCACCCCTGTTCATACGCCCCGTTTCCTTGGTTAAAATCTCAATTTTCTCGCGATTTAAACATTGTTTGAAACATTTGGAATATTGTGAGTTATCATCATAACTAAATATATAACACTAGCCTTATGATTTTGGGATATTTGAATGCAAAAATCTTAGGTATTCCACCTTTAAGTCATCCTAGCTGCTATTTGCTGGTTCTTGAAAACCTCTCTAAAAGCAGTAAACGGTTTTAGGCTGGTTTAAAGGGATAGTTCACTTTAAAATTAATTTTTTTATATGTTTTAGCTTACCTCAAGGGTATCCAAGATGTAGGTGTCTTTGTTTCCACAGTATTTTTAATTTTGACATTTTTCGGTCAAACCGGTGTTGTCTGTCAGTCATATAATGGAGTTTTAGGGGGTCCACCACCTCAAAGAGCATGCACAGAGAAGTCAAAATTAAACATGATTTAATGACTCGTGAATGTAAGTACACACTGATGGCCTAAGACACGAAACGAGCGGTTTGTGTGAGAAAACGAATAGTATTTATGTAGTTTTTACCTCTTGTTATCAGCTACGTGCACTGATCTGAATCAGATGTCCAACTGAACCGAAAAAAGTCACGCATTGTTTACACGGAGATTTCGGAAGTTTTACCTTTCACTAAACATATTTAGATACACAGGAAATCACAATGATGATTTCAATATATCTAAATATGTTTAGTGAAAGGTAAAACTTCCGAAATGTGATTGTAATTTGTTTGGAGATTCACCATTGTTCTCTACCCAGTTCACCTGCTGTCTGAGGATTACCTGCTTGCCTGCCATCTGTGAGTTTCCTTCACTAGGCTCGGGAAGAGTTTTCAGTTGCTGCTCGCCTCCTTGCCGGCGCTGAACCAACAATTGACTTGCACAGCAGTATTGTTTTCGCTTTGAACAGATCTGCGTCTGTTGACGGCAGAGTCTCCTTGTTTCAAGTTATGGAGAAATTAACTCTATTATTGCATTAACTCTGCTTTTGGGTCCTCTGTTCAAACTGTGACATATTTTCCCTGTCTTGATTGTTTGGCTTATTTTCATTCAATCATTTTTCAGAAAAGGCGAAGTCCTTTTATCTCAGGACGCACAGAATGAGCATGAGCAGAATTATTGTGATCGGAATTTTATCAAAAATAAATGGCATTAAAAATGTGATATTTCATGCCTGTTAAAAAGTCTAGCATAATGTCTCTTATGACACGTTTCCATTACCAGAACCAGCTCAACTCGACTCGGCTCGCTTTTCGCTCAGTTTTCCATTACCTCCACAATACTACCTGGTCATCATAGCGACGCCACAGGAAACTCTGGCCAAACTATTTAAAAATCGCGGGGGTTATTCAGGATACTTCGTCTGGCACGTGCAATGATGACACAGTCAATAGTGATGATTCTCTCTCAATCAGCAGTCTGCAGTGTTTTCACGTCACATTTTAGTACCACCTCAGCTCGCTCAGAACCTATGAAACCTATGAAAATACCCGAAAGGAGGTACAAGTGTGAGTTGAGTCGAGCTGTTACTGTGTAGTGGAAAAGCACCATATAAGGGCTTACGTTAAACCAGGGCGAATGCTTAGAATTACAGTGTAACATAAACAAGACTTTGCAGATAAGAAATGAAAAAAACAGGTGAATTATCTTTTTCGACAATACACAGACATTTCTTTGGAATTTTCTCTTTGATAAATGTAAATCTCACTGTTTTCACACTGTCATTACCATAAAGACAGCAGTATAAAAATAAGAACATGTTCATTCATGTAGTTTTACTGGGCAGCAAATCAATTCATAGCCTCCAAAATGCAAATGAGATGAGGTCATATGCTTTATGCTTTAGGATTTAAATCTGTACTTGCCATTGGATCTCCCATGACCACCTGATCTATATGTAAACAATGATACTATGTGTTGTATGAATTACAAAGGCCAGGTTTTACAGGTTTTACAAGCACTGGTATATAAGGAAACTCCTTTAGAGCATCGTGCACTGCACCCATATCACCAGTACTCTCTGATATTTGCTATTATTGCGGAGCAAGAGTTGCTTTAGGTTCTTACTGCTACATTTACATTTTCTGCTTTTCTCTCTCTAAACAGCTCAACAAAGCAGCAATAATGAGTTCTTGTTCTGAACCAGAAAATGCCAAAGTTGTAGTGGTAGGTTCAGGTTTTGCAGGTTTGGCTGCTGCAGCCAAGTTAGTGGAGGCAGGATTTGAAAATGTCCTGGTTCTTGAGGCAAAGGAAAGAGTTGGAGGTCGAGCGCACACCACTAAACCGTTCAGCGAGAATGTCATTGAAGTTGGAGCTAACTGGATCCACGGGCAGGAAGGAAACCCTCTGTTCAAGATTGCGAAAGAGGAGAACCTGCTATCTGAGGGACCTTCTGCCTGCAAAAACATGTGCCAGCCTCGATCTGCAACTCCTCAAGATTACTTTTTCAAAGAAGATGGGAAGCAGGTGTCCAGAAAAGTTGTAGATCAGGTAAGTTCGTTCTTCAGCAAGCTCACTGACAAAGCTTTTGATGATGAACTCAAGAGAAGGCACAGAAAACTAAGTCTAGGTGCTTATCTGGATGATGCCTTTGGTGAAGCTCCTCTAGCGGCGACAGAGGACGGCTGGCAAGTTTTTGAATGGTGCAAGAGGAATGAATGCACAGATGAGGCTTGCTCTACCCTCTATAAGATTTCTGCATCTCAGATTAGCAATTACACTGCTCTAGAGGGAGAGTTTTTTAATACATTGGGACCTGGTGGCTATCGAGCAATCTTGGATGTTCTCCTGAAAGATCTGCCTTCGGGAACTGTACAGTGTAGTGCACCGGTCAAGAGCATCCAATGGGACTTGGTTGAAAAAGGTAGTGGTGAAAATCAAAGGTATCCTGTTAAGGTCGTCTGTGAAAATGGACAGAGCTTTGAGGCAGATCATGTGATTGTCACTGTATCTCTGGGGGTTCTCAAAGACAAAGCCACAACCATGTTTGAACCGTCCTTACCGGAGAAAAAGCTGTCTGCAATTGAGAATCTTGGCTTTGGGATAGTGGACAAAATTTTCCTGTTTTTTGAGGAACGTTTCTGGCCAGACGACTGTTCCGGGGTTCAGCTGGTGTGGAAAGAAGGGCCTGAAGATAAAGATGTTTATGAGTCTCTGTCTGAAGGAGAAACCTGGAAAAAGACGTGGTTCAAGAAGATCACTGGTTTTGGTACAGTGGCTCGTCATCCCACGACTCTGTGTGGCTGGATCACAGGTAGAGAAGCTCTGTATATGGAGAATCTTCAGGACAGTGAAATCGGAGCTATCTGTGTGAGGTATGGTGACATAAATGATGGAATAGATGATCATTTTACCATGGCCAAATATCATGCCTCTCTCCATATATAACAAACTCTGTTTTGTCTTTTAAGGTTGCTCAGGTCTTTCACGGGCTGGTCAGTGCCAGAAGTCTCAAAGACACTGATCACCAGATGGGGTTCTGATTCCCACGTCCGTGGCTCCTATACATTTATTCCTGATGGTGTCGATGGAGTAAAAGCACACAAGGCATTAGCGTCACCTCTTCCCTCTAAATCTGAATGCAGAGGCAGGAAGGTAACTCTTACTATCTTCTATAAGTGTTCAATTATTTAGGTTAAGGGCATATACAGTATTTAGTATGAGCAAGTGTTATAGTTTTATATACTATCACTGTATTTGTAAAATTTAATAATTAACTTTTATATTAATGTTTTCAGTTTTTTTAAGTTTGAGTATTTTTTAGTTATTTATCATTTTTATTAGTTAAAAAAATGTTTTGTCATTTTACATGTTAGTGATTTTAGTACTTCAACTTATTTTACATCAATTAGTTTCATTTCCATTTATTTTCTCACAACTTTATTTCAATGACCATAAATAATTTTTAATTTTTAAAAATGACTAAAATGTTTTTTTCTCTCTGTGTTCTTGAAGCACCTTCAGGTGTTGTTTGCTGGTGAAGCCACACATGATAACTTCTACACCACGACCCATGGAGCGTACCTCACAGGCGTCAGAGAAGCAGAACGACTCATAAGCTATTATGAAGATTGAACATGCAATGCCAAAAGAAAAGAGCATAGCCTACACTTTGGTTTCATGAAGATAACATTTTAAGATCATATAACATTTTAAAGACTTCTTCTCACACCCTAGCCTTCCACATGTTTTGGTGTTTAAATGACCCATAGGTAGTTTAACTGCCTGAAACACAGAGTTTCCGAATGCTTACATCCAACTGATCACATTCTATCTCTGTCTGGTTATTTCTGTCTGGTCAAATGTTTTACTCCAACATTTGTTAATTCTGGTCATTTGTTAAACTGTGTTATATGATCCGAGGAGTATTATTTCCCACACACCAAGCAATGTTAAATCTTTTTCTAATTTGTTTTATTTAATTAAGTATATTAAATGAAGTAAATTAGTGGTCCTCAATCTGTGATACCTTGGGTGGTATGCAGCATGATACTGAAAATGTACACTATTTAGAAAATCGTTATAAAATTACCTTGAATATATTTTTGAGGGGGAAATTTGCTAAATATAAAAGGACTTTTGCAATGAGACAGTGCCTCGATTAAAATAAATTGTTATGCTGGGACTATCTATTCATTAGTGAATAGTGACGATTCTCTCTGAACAATGAGTGGTCTGCAGTGTTTTCAACGCACATTTTACCACTTCAGCTCGCTCAGAACCTATGAAAAAAAAAGTACCCGAAAGCAGGTACAAGTGCAACTTTTACATAGTGGAAAACCAAACAAAGGCGAGTCGAGTCAAGCTGGTACTGTGTAGTGGAAAAGCACCATATAAGGGCTTACATTAAACCAAGGTGAATGCTTGGAATTGCAGTGTAACACTAAACAAGACTTTGCAGATAAGAAATGAGAAAAACAGGCTTATATGGGGTGAGCTAAACAAGATAATGAGACAGGTGAATGTGATAATGGATGAAGAGTCCGGGCAGTGAGTTTTGGGAGATGATTGTGAGGGAATGACAAAAGGCTAATGTGGAGTGGCACTCCAGTTGGTGACCAGGTGTATAGGCCTACTCAGTAATCGTTCCCTTATTCATAAAAGCTTAAGCATTAAATAAATAATTACAGCAATCTGTCTGTTTATTAGGATGACTGTTTTGCAATTGTGAAGTGTCATTCTTAATTGTTTAAATGTTTTTAAAATAAAAATAAGACAGAGAAAAATATAAGTATTATTTTATATTTGCATATTTTTTTTATTTGTTTGTGTTTTGTTAGGGGGTTGGACAAAATGTCATTTTAAAGATGTATTTAATTTTAAAAATTTTTAATGAATTATCTTTTTTTTTTTTTTTTTTTTTTACAATACACAGACATTTCTTTGGAATTTTCTCTTTGATAAATGTAAATCTCACTGTTTTCACACTGTCATTACCATAAAGGCAGCAGTATAAAAATAAGAACATGTTCATTCATGTAGTTTTACTGGGCAGCAAATCAATTCATAGCCTCCAAAGTGCAAACGAGATGAGGTATGCTTTATGCTTTAGGATTTAAATCTGTACTTGCCATTGGATCTCCCACGACCGCCTGATCTATATGTAAACAATGATACTATGTATTGTATGAATTACAAAGGTCAGGTTTTACAGGTTTTACAAGCACTGGTATATAAGGAAACTCCTTTAGAGCATCGTGCACTGCACCCATATCACCAGTACTCTCTGTTATTTGCTATTATTGCGGAGCAAGAGTTGCTTTTTGTTGTTACTGCTACATTTACATTTTCTGCTTTTCTCTTTTTAAACAGCTCAACAAAGCAGCAATAATGAGTTCTTGTTCTGAACCAGAAAATGCCAAAGTTTTAGTGGTAGGTTCAGGTTTTGCAGGTTTGGCTGCTGCAGCCAAGTTAGTGGAGGCAGGATTTGAAAATGTCCTGGTTCTTGAGGCAAAGGAAAGAGTTGGAGGTCGAGCGCACACCACTAAACCGTTCAGCGAGAATGTCATTGAAGTTGGAGCTAACTGGATCCACGGGCAGAAAGGAAACCCTCTGTTCAAGATTGCGAAAGAGGAGAACTTGCTATCTGAGGGACCCTCTGCCTGCAAAAACATGTGCCAGCCTCGTTCTGTAACTCCTCAAGATTACTTTTTCAAAGAAGATGGGAAGCAGGTGTCCAGAAAAGTTGTAGATCAGGTGAGTTCGTGCTTCAGCAAGCTCACCGACAAAGCTTTTGATGATGAACTCAAGAGAAAGCACAGGAAACTAAGTCTAGGTGCTTATCTGGATGATGCCTTTGGTGAAGCTCCTCTAGCGGCGACAGAGGACGGCTGGCAAGTTTTTGAATGGTGCAAGAGGAATGAATGCACAGATGAGGCTTGCTCTACCCTCTATGAGATTTCTGCATCTCAGATTAGCAATTACACTGCTCTAGAGGGAGAGTTTTTTAATACATTGGGACCTGGTGGCTATCGAGCAATCTTGGATGTTCTCCTGAAAGATCTGCCTTCGGGAACTGTCCAGTGTAGTGCACCGGTCAAGAGCATCCAATGGGACTTGGTCAAAAAAGGTAGTGGTGAAGATCAAAGGTATCCTGTTAAGGTCGTCTGTGAAAATGGACAGAGCTTTGAGGCAGATCATGTGATTGTCACTGTATCTCTGGGGGTTCTCAAAGACAAAGCCACAACCATGTTCGAACCATCCTTACCGGAGAAAAAGCTGTCTGCAATTGAGAATCTTGGCTTTGGGATAGTGGACAAAATTTTCCTGTTTTTTGAGGAACGTTTCTGGCCAGACGACTGTTCCGGGGTTCAGCTGGTGTGGAAAGAAGGGCCTGAAGATAAAGATGTTTATGAGTCTCTGTCTGAAGGAGAAACCTGGAAAAAGACGTGGTTCAAGAAGATCACTGGTTTTGACACAGTGGCTCGTCATCCCACGACTCTGTGTGGCTGGATCACAGGTAGAGAAGCTCTGTATATGGAGAATCTTCAGGACAGTGAAATCGGAGCTATCTGTGTGAGGTATGGTGACATAAATGATGGAATAGATGATCATTTTACCATGGCCAAATATCATGCCTCTCTCCATATATAACAAACTCTGTTTTGTCTTTTAAGGTTGCTCAGGTCTTTCACGGGCTGGTCAGTGCCAGAAGTCTCAAAGACACTGATCACCAGATGGGGTTCTGATTCCCACGTCCGTGGCTCCTATACATTTATTCCTGATGGTGTCGACGGAGTAAAAGCACACAAGGCATTAGCGTCACCTCTTCCCCCAAAATATAAATGCAGAGGCAGGAAGGTAACTCTTATTATCTTCTATAAGTGTTTGATTATTTAGCTCATATGCATATATTTAGTATGAGCAAGTGTTATAGTATTATTTATATACTATCACTGTATTTGTAAAATTTAATAATTAACTTTTATATGAATGTTTTCAGTTTTTTTAAGTTTGAGTTTTATTTTTTTATCATTTTTATTAGTTAAAACATGTTTTGTCATTTTACATCTTAGTGATTTTAGTACTTCAAGTTATTTTACATCAATTAGTTTCATTTCCCTTTATTTTATTACAGCTTTATTTCAATGAACATAAATAATTGTTAAAAATTAACAAAATTATTTTTTTTCTCTCTGTGTTCTTGAAGCACCTTCAGGTGTTGTTTGCTGGTGAAGCTACACATGATAAATTCTACACCACGACCCATGGAGCGTACCTCACAGGCGTCAGAGAAGCGGAACGACTCATAAGCTATTACGCCGATTGAACATACAGTACCAAAGAGAAAAGAGCATAGCCTACACTTTGGGTTCATGAAGATAACATTTTACGATCATATAACATTTTATAGACTTCTTCTCACACCCTAGCCTTCCACATGTTTGGTGTTTAAATGACCCATAGGTAGTTTAACTGCCTGACAAAAAGCATTTCTGAATGCTTTCATCCAACTGATCACATTCTATCTCTGTCTGGTTATTTCTGTCTGGTCAAATGTTTTACTCCAACATTTGTTAATTCTGGTCATTTGTTAAACTGTGTTATATGATCCGCGGAATATTATTTCTCACACACCAAGCAATGTTAAATCATTTTCTAATTTGTTTTATTTATTTAATTAAGTATATTAAATGAAGTAAATTAGTGGTCCTAAAACTGTGATACCTCGGATGGTATGCAGCGTGATCCTGAAAATTTGCACAATTTAGAAAATCGTTCAAAAATTGCCTTGAATATATTTTTGAGGGGGAAAGTTGCTAAATATAAAAGGACTTTTGCAATGAGACAGTGCCTTGATTAAAATAAATTGGTATGCTGGGAATATCTATGGTTAGCACAGGCAATCAAAATCACAGACAATAATCATCACAGATACACACAATTATTGCATAATATTTAGGCTATATATAAAACAGGCTATATAATATGTGATATTCTTGTTTATTATGCATCTGTTGTGATTCTTTTCTATGTAAAGCACTTCTTACCATTGTGTATGAAATATGCAATATAAACTTGCTTTGCCTTGCAATCACGGGCAAACTTTGTTTCCAAATACTGTTAATTTGATAAACGTTTGTAAACACAGACAGTACCTATAATAAAAATGGGAAGAATCTAGATTCCAAACTGAAATAGGCCCCTACATGCATCCATCACAGTTCATAAAGATCAAAAAAGCTTGATGGTGGTCAGATTAGGCAGCCTAGTTACTCGGGAAAGATGTTCAAGTCATCCTAACTGGTAGAAAAATCCCACAGTTTGCTGGTCTCCAAAACCTCCCTAAAACCAGCAAATAATACCACCAAGCTAAACCAGAAAACGATCTTAGGCTAGTGTGTTGTTCTATGATTGAAGTCACCACAAGAGTTTAATCAGGGACAAGTTAAACAAACTTGAAATGTCTTTGAAAAACATAAGCAGTCAACAGGCCTACAGGTTACCTTAGACACCTCGTGGTACCGCATATTAATGATTGTGAATAAATTCTACTAGCCTATTTATACATTTTAATAACTAAATATAGCCTACGTATAAATATTTCTAATGTAGGCTTCAAGTATATTTGCGAGACAGTGCAGATAGAGACAGACACAATAGAATACAAACCTTGAGAATAGTGCAGTAACTAAGTTAGCTGCAGTTCACTCTGGCGTTTGTGATGTACTGTAAGCGATATACCCTGTCGTGTTATTATATATTGAAGGATATTTTTCTTCGATTATTTCTCGTTTTCGTTGGTTTATCTGCTTGAGTTGTAGCCTATGTGGATTCGTTGTTTGGAGGTTTCTGATATAGCCTATCCTAGATCATTTCATAAAAAGTTTGTCTTAAATTTGGGCGAAGCCACTTTACCTCAGGACGCACAAGTGCCCAAAAAGAATACTAGCGCCATCTTCTGCATGAGGAGAGATGTTGGAGAATAAAACAGCGCGAAGGTGGGCTCTTTAAATTTCCTGTTATGACAGCGCATGACACGTGACACCTGTATCTGGAAGAAAAAAAAATCGTGTCAATAATATTTTATTAATTTATTTTCGTCAATTTGAGGGTTGGACCAAGTATCCTTTTAAAAATGCATTTAGTTTTATTTTTCTACAAAGACATGTAATTTGAAATTCGTTTTGAAAAAAGAAAAAAGAAATCTTTGAATGTCGCCGTCTTCACACTGTCATTAGGAGGCATGTGAGAACAAGAATCTTCAGACTCTACTTTTACATTTTCCATACAACCTGAGGTTAGGAAGGTTCATGTACATTTTGTCCCGTTGGGACTTCTCTAGTCTCACGCATTGGCCGTGGTGAAACACACGCAATTCAACCAGTTCACACCATAGGGTTCACACGCTCACACGCCACACTGTGTATTTCTCACGCTGATCATTCAAGGGCAATGCCAACCAAGTTGTCCTGGCAGCAAGCTTTATATATCACGTTGTATACGAGGCGCAGGCACACATAAGTGAAGTTTCCTGCCACCAGCACGTATCTCAGCCAGATTGCGTCCGTTACTAGGCAACATAGATGCGCGAAATCACGGAAGTTGACGGAACATTCTCGGTCACCTTACATTCGAACAATATCGGGCGAACACACGTCGTGATGGAGAAGGTGAGTTAGAAGAAGCTCTTCTAACATTTTTAGGCTAGAACATTTAATATATAACCCCTCATATACATTATTATTGATGCAGTCAAAAACTCTATAACTAGGCTACTTTGCAACCAGGCCAGAAGCTTTGGCTCAGTTTGGCTAGCTTATTATCTGAAACTAAGGGAAATGTTAGTGGGTATGGCATGGGAAGGAATGAATATATATATTATATATAATATATTATACTGCATTAATAGTATTTCTAGTTACATGTATTAAAGCAGATAAGACACATTTCATAAGCTGGAGTGTGTACTCTTGTCTTGTGCGCGCACACACACACACACACACACACACACACACACACAAACACACCTTATACTCTAATATGTCCATTTGTTCACAATGTCCCACCACACAATAAATCATTACACCATTTTGGCTAGACACATTCAAAATGCTAAATATTAGTTTTTCCAAACTGTTTGGAGCAATTTGTTACCTATATTTTTGTATATTTGTAATTTTGAAATATAACTTTAAAGAGTATATTTGATGTGATGAATTGCTCTGTTACTTATCAGATTTACCGATTGTTATAATTTCAATTTGTGCTGGTTAATTATGAACAATGGGTAAAATTGTGACCTCTAACCACATGTGATCTCACTCCAAGCTTTTGATAAAACTTGAGAACCCTGAAATTATTCTATGTGCATTGTAGGAAAGCAAAGCATGTTTCTGGCTTGTGTGAATGTGGGAGTCTTGAGACAGTAGGGTATGTTTTCCTAGAATGCAGAAAGTATAGGGCAGAAAGAAATATATTCTTTGTTAAACTGGCAGGACTTGGTGGAGTTAAGGCTTTTTCTCTTTAATCTTTGTTTGGACAAACTGACGAGCATAAACTGATCTCCAAGGCAGTTCTTCAGTTCTTGCATGACACAGGACTGTATACTGTAATTTAGTTCAAACTTTGACCTGTGGAGGGCAGCAATACACTCAGCAGTGCTACACTGCCGGAATCCCACAAGAAGAACAACAACCAGAAGAACAAGATTGTTCGTTCATAGTTTTACTTGGAAACAGTTTTTTGTAAGTATCATACATGCTGCATCTTCATATGATTGGATCCCATGACCACCTGATCTCTACAAAGATTTGTATGGACTCCCTGATTCTTGAGAGATAATTAAGGGAATTCATTTAAAAATAGCAATGAATGCCCTGATTATAAAGAACTTCATTTTTAACATAAAGAGGGCTTTTGTGTGTACTGTGTAGGACACGTTAGGTCCCTTATCTCTAAATTCAGTTAACTACAAAGGTCAGGTGGTACAGGTGTTTAAGCACTGATATATAAAGGAAACTCCTTTACAGCTTTGTGCACTACACCCATACCTGTACTCTCTGTTATTTGAAACTTACTGCTGAGCAAGAATAGCTTTTATTTCTTACGACTACATTTCCTGATTTTCTCTCTCTAAACATCTCAACAAAGCAGCAATAATGAGTTCTTGTTCGGGACCAGAAAATGCCAAAGTTGTAGTGGTAGGTTCAGGTTTTGCAGGTTTGGCTGCTGCAGCCAAGTTAGTGGAGGCAGGATTTGAAAATGTCCTGGTTCTTGAGGCAAAGGAAAGAGTTGGAGGTCGAGCGCACACCACTAAACCGTTCAGCGAGAATGTCATTGAAGTTGGAGCTAACTGGATCCACGGGCAGAAAGGAAACCCTCTGTTCAAGATTGCGAAAGAGGAGAACCTGCTATCTGAGGGACCTTCTGCACGCAAAAACATGTGCCAGCCTCGTTCTGTAACTCCTCAAGATTACTTTTTCAAAGAAGATGGGAAGCAGGTGTCCAGAAAAGTTGTAGATCTGGTGAGTTCGTTCTTCAGCAAGCTCACCGATAAAGCTTTTGATGATGAACTCCAGAGCAGGCACAGGAAACTAAGTCTAGGTGCTTATCTGGATGATGCCTTCGGTGAAGCTCCTCTAGCGGCGACAGAGGACGGCCGGCAAGTTTTTGAATGGTGCAAAAGAATCGAATGCACAGATGAGGCTTGCTCTACCCTCTACGAGGTTTCTGCGTCTCAGATTAGCAATTACACTGCTCTAGAGGGAGGATTTTTTAATACATTGGGACCTGGTGGCTATCAAGCAATTTTGGATCTTCTCCTGAAAGATCTGCCTTCGGGAACTATCCAGTGTAGTGCACCGGTCAAGAGCATCCAATGGGACTTGGTCAAAAAAGGTAGTGGTGAAGATCAAAGGTATCCTGTTAAGGTCGTCTGTGAAAATGGACAGAGCTTTGAGGCAGATCATGTGATTGTCACTGTATCTCTGGGGGTTCTCAAAGACAAAGCCACAACCATGTTCGAACCGTCCTTACCGGAGAAAAAGCTGTCTGCAATTGAGAATCTTGGCTTTGGGATAGTGGACAAAATTTTCCTGTTTTTTGAGGAACGTTTCTGGCCAGACGACTGTTCCGGGGTTCAGCTGGTGTGGAAAGAAGGGCCTGAAGATAAAGATGTTTATGAGTCTCTGTCTGAAGGAGAAACCTGGAAAAAGACGTGGTTCAAGAAGATCACTGGTTTTGGTACAGTGGCTCGTCATCCCACGACTCTGTGTGGCTGGATCACAGGTAGAGAAGCTCTGTATATGGAGAATCTTCAGGACAGTGAAATCGGAGCTATCTGTGTGAGGTATGGTGACATAAATGATGGAATAGATGATCATTTTACCATGGCCAAATATCATGCCTCTCTCCATATATAACAAACTCTGTTTTGTCTTTTAAGGTTGCTCAGGTCTTTCACGGGCTGGTCAGTGCCAGAAGTCTCAAAGACACTGATCACCAGATGGGGTTCTGATTCCCACGTCCGTGGCTCCTATACATTTATTCCTGATGGTGTCGATGGAGTAAAAGCACACAAGGCATTAGCGTCACCTCTTCCCTCTAAATCTGAATGCAGAGGCAGGAAGGTAACTCTTACTATCTTCTATAAGTGTTCAATTATTTAGGTTAAGGGCATATACAGTATTTAGTATGAGCAAGTGTTATAGTTTTATATACTATCACTGTATTTGTAAAATTTAATAATTAACTTTTATATTAATGTTTTCAGTTTTTTTAAGTTTGAGTATTTTTTAGTTATTTATCATTTTTATTAGTTAAAAAAATGTTTTGTCATTTTACATGTTAGTGATTTTAGTACTTCAACTTATTTTACATCAATTAGTTTCATTTCCATTTATTTTCTCACAACTTTATTTCAATGACCATAAATAATTTTTAATTTTTAAAAATGACTAAAATGTTTTTTTCTCTCTGTGTTCTTGAAGCACCTTCAGGTGTTGTTTGCTGGTGAAGCCACACATGATAACTTCTACACCACGACCCATGGAGCGTACCTCACAGGCGTCAGAGAAGCAGAACGACTCATAAGCTATTATGAAGATTGAACATGCAATGCCAAAAGAAAAGAGCATAGCCTACACTTTGGTTTCATGAAGATAACATTTTAAGATCATATAACATTTTAAAGACTTCTTCTCACACCCTAGCCTTCCACATGTTTTGGTGTTTAAATGACCCATAGGTAGTTTAACTGCCTGAAACACAGAGTTTCCGAATGCTTACATCCAACTGATCACATTCTATCTCTGTCTGGTTATTTCTGTCTGGTCAAATGTTTTACTCCAACATTTGTTAATTCTGGTCATTTGTTAAACTGTGTTATATGATCCGAGGAGTATTATTTCCCACACACCAAGCAATGTTAAATCTTTTTCTAATTTGTTTTATTTAATTAAGTATATTAAATGAAGTAAATTAGTGGTCCTCAATCTGTGATACCTTGGGTGGTATGCAGCATGATACTGAAAATGTACACTATTTAGAAAATCGTTATAAAATTACCTTGAATATATTTTTGAGGGGGAAATTTGCTAAATATAAAAGGACTTTTGCAATGAGACAGTGCCTCGATTAAAATAAATTGTTATGCTGGGACTATCTATTCATTAGTGAATAGTGACGATTCTCTCTGAACAATGAGTGGTCTGCAGTGTTTTCAACGCACATTTTACCACTTCAGCTCGCTCAGAACCTATGAAAAAAAAAGTACCCGAAAGCAGGTACAAGTGCAACTTTTACATAGTGGAAAACCAAACAAAGGCGAGTCGAGTCAAGCTGGTACTGTGTAGTGGAAAAGCACCATATAAGGGCTTACATTAAACCAAGGTGAATGCTTGGAATTGCAGTGTAACACTAAACAAGACTTTGCAGATAAGAAATGAGAAAAACAGGCTTATATGGGGTGAGCTAAACAAGATAATGAGACAGGTGAATGTGATAATGGATGAAGAGTCCGGGCAGTGAGTTTTGGGAGATGATTGTGAGGGAATGACAAAAGGCTAATGTGGAGTGGCACTCCAGTTGGTGACCAGGTGTATAGGCCTACTCAGTAATCGTTCCCTTATTCATAAAAGCTTAAGCATTAAATAAATAATTACAGCAATCTGTCTGTTTATTAGGATGACTGTTTTGCAATTGTGAAGTGTCATTCTTAATTGTTTAAATGTTTTTAAAATAAAAATAAGACAGAGAAAAATATAAGTATTATTTTATATTTGCATATTTTTTTTATTTGTTTGTGTTTTGTTAGGGGGTTGGACAAAATGTCATTTTAAAGATGTATTTAATTTTAAAAATTTTTAATGAATTATCTTTTTTTTTTTTTTTTTTTTTTTACAATACACAGACATTTCTTTGGAATTTTCTCTTTGATAAATGTAAATCTCACTGTTTTCACACTGTCATTACCATAAAGGCAGCAGTATAAAAATAAGAACATGTTCATTCATGTAGTTTTACTGGGCAGCAAATCAATTCATAGCCTCCAAAGTGCAAACGAGATGAGGTATGCTTTATGCTTTAGGATTTAAATCTGTACTTGCCATTGGATCTCCCACGACCGCCTGATCTATATGTAAACAATGATACTATGTATTGTATGAATTACAAAGGTCAGGTTTTACAGGTTTTACAAGCACTGGTATATAAGGAAACTCCTTTAGAGCATCGTGCACTGCACCCATATCACCAGTACTCTCTGTTATTTGCTATTATTGCGGAGCAAGAGTTGCTTTTTGTTGTTACTGCTACATTTACATTTTCTGCTTTTCTCTTTTTAAACAGCTCAACAAAGCAGCAATAATGAGTTCTTGTTCTGAACCAGAAAATGCCAAAGTTTTAGTGGTAGGTTCAGGTTTTGCAGGTTTGGCTGCTGCAGCCAAGTTAGTGGAGGCAGGATTTGAAAATGTCCTGGTTCTTGAGGCAAAGGAAAGAGTTGGAGGTCGAGCGCACACCACTAAACCGTTCAGCGAGAATGTCATTGAAGTTGGAGCTAACTGGATCCACGGGCAGAAAGGAAACCCTCTGTTCAAGATTGCGAAAGAGGAGAACTTGCTATCTGAGGGACCCTCTGCCTGCAAAAACATGTGCCAGCCTCGTTCTGTAACTCCTCAAGATTACTTTTTCAAAGAAGATGGGAAGCAGGTGTCCAGAAAAGTTGTAGATCAGGTGAGTTCGTGCTTCAGCAAGCTCACCGACAAAGCTTTTGATGATGAACTCAAGAGAAAGCACAGGAAACTAAGTCTAGGTGCTTATCTGGATGATGCCTTTGGTGAAGCTCCTCTAGCGGCGACAGAGGACGGCTGGCAAGTTTTTGAATGGTGCAAGAGGAATGAATGCACAGATGAGGCTTGCTCTACCCTCTATGAGATTTCTGCATCTCAGATTAGCAATTACACTGCTCTAGAGGGAGAGTTTTTTAATACATTGGGACCTGGTGGCTATCGAGCAATCTTGGATGTTCTCCTGAAAGATCTGCCTTCGGGAACTGTCCAGTGTAGTGCACCGGTCAAGAGCATCCAATGGGACTTGGTCAAAAAAGGTAGTGGTGAAGATCAAAGGTATCCTGTTAAGGTCGTCTGTGAAAATGGACAGAGCTTTGAGGCAGATCATGTGATTGTCACTGTATCTCTGGGGGTTCTCAAAGACAAAGCCACAACCATGTTCGAACCATCCTTACCGGAGAAAAAGCTGTCTGCAATTGAGAATCTTGGCTTTGGGATAGTGGACAAAATTTTCCTGTTTTTTGAGGAACGTTTCTGGCCAGACGACTGTTCCGGGGTTCAGCTGGTGTGGAAAGAAGGGCCTGAAGATAAAGATGTTTATGAGTCTCTGTCTGAAGGAGAAACCTGGAAAAAGACGTGGTTCAAGAAGATCACTGGTTTTGACACAGTGGCTCGTCATCCCACGACTCTGTGTGGCTGGATCACAGGTAGAGAAGCTCTGTATATGGAGAATCTTCAGGACAGTGAAATCGGAGCTATCTGTGTGAGGTATGGTGACATAAATGATGGAATAGATGATCATTTTACCATGGCCAAATATCATGCCTCTCTCCATATATAACAAACTCTGTTTTGTCTTTTAAGGTTGCTCAGGTCTTTCACGGGCTGGTCAGTGCCAGAAGTCTCAAAGACACTGATCACCAGATGGGGTTCTGATTCCCACGTCCGTGGCTCCTATACATTTATTCCTGATGGTGTCGACGGAGTAAAAGCACACAAGGCATTAGCGTCACCTCTTCCCCCAAAATATAAATGCAGAGGCAGGAAGGTAACTCTTATTATCTTCTATAAGTGTTTGATTATTTAGCTCATATGCATATATTTAGTATGAGCAAGTGTTATAGTATTATTTATATACTATCACTGTATTTGTAAAATTTAATAATTAACTTTTATATGAATGTTTTCAGTTTTTTTAAGTTTGAGTTTTATTTTTTTATCATTTTTATTAGTTAAAACATGTTTTGTCATTTTACATCTTAGTGATTTTAGTACTTCAAGTTATTTTACATCAATTAGTTTCATTTCCCTTTATTTTATTACAGCTTTATTTCAATGAACATAAATAATTGTTAAAAATTAACAAAATTATTTTTTTTCTCTCTGTGTTCTTGAAGCACCTTCAGGTGTTGTTTGCTGGTGAAGCCACACATGATAAATTCTACACCACGACCCATGGAGCGTACCTCACAGGCGTCAGAGAAGCAGAACGACTCATAAGCTATTACGCCGATTGAACATACAGTACCAAAAAGAAAAGAGCATAGCCTACACTTTGGGTTCATGAAGATAACATTTTACGATCATATAACATTTTATAGACTTCTTCTCACACCCTAGCCTTCCACATGTTTGGTGTTTAAATGACCCATAGGTAGTTTAACTGCCTGACAAAAAGCATTTCTGAATGCTTTCATCCAACTGATCACATTCTATCTCTGTCTGGTTATTTCTGTCTGGTCAAATGTTTTACTCCAACATTTGTTAATTCTGGTCATTTGTTAAACTGTGTTATATGATCCGAGGAATATTATTTCTCACACACCAAGCAATGTTAAATCTTTTTCTAATTTGTTTTATTTATTTAATTAAGTATATTAAATGAAGTAAATTAGTGGTCCTAAAACTGTGATACCTCGGATGGTATGCAGCGTGATCCTGAAAATTTGCACAATTTAGAAAATCGTTCAAAAATTGCCTTGAATATATTTTTGAGGGGGAAAGTTGCTAAATATAAAAGGACTTTTGCAATGAGACAGTGCCTTGATTAAAATAAATTGGTATGCTGGGAATATCTATGGTTAGCACAGGCAATCAAAATCACAGACAATAATCATCACAGATACACACAATTATTGCATATATTTAGGCTATATATAAAACAGGCTATATAATATGTGATATTCTTGTTTATTATGCATCTGTTGTGATTCTTTTCTATGTAAAGCACTTCTTACCATTGTGTATGAAATATGCAATATAAACTTGCTTTGCCTTGCAATCACGGGCAAACTTTGTTTCCAAATACTGTTAATTTGATAAACGTTTGTAAACACAGACAGTACCTATAATAAAAATGGGAAGAATCTAGATTCCAAACTGAAATAGGCCCCTACATGCATCCATCACAGTTCATAAAGATCAAAAAAGCTTGATGGTGGTCAGATTAGGCAGCCTAGTTACTCGGGAAAGATGTTCAAGTCATCCTAACTGGTAGAAAAATCCCACAGTTTGCTGGTCTCCAAAACCTCAGTAAAACCAGCAAATAATACCACCAAGCTAAACCAGAAAACGATCTTAGGCTAGTGTGTTGTTCTATGATTGAAGTCACCACAAGAGTTTAATCAGGGACAAGTTAAACAAACTTGAAATGTCTTTGAAAAACATAAGCAGTCAACAGGCCTACAGGTTACCTTAGACACCTCGTGGTACCGCATATTAATGATTGTGAATAAATTCTACTAGCCTATTTATACATTTTAATAACTAAATATAGCCTACGTATAAATATTTTTAATGTAGGCTTCAAGTATATTTGCGAGACAGTGCAGATAGAGACAGACACAATAGAATACAAACCTTGAGAATAGTGCAGTAACTAAGTTAGCTGCAGTTCACTCTGGCGTTTGTGATGTACTGTAAGCGATATACCCTGTCGTGTTATTATATATTGAAGGATATTTTTCTTCGATTATTTCTCGTTTTCGTTGGTTTATCTGCTTGAGTTGTAGCCTATGTGGATTCGTTGTTTGGAGGTTTCTGATATAGCCTATCCTAGATCATTTCATAAAAAGTTTGTCTTAAATTTGGGCGAAGCCACTTTACCTCAGGACGCACAAGTGCCCAAAAAGAATACTAGCGCCATCTTCTGCATGAGGAGAGATGTTGGAGAATAAAACAGCGCGAAGGTGGGCTCTTTAAATTTCCTGTTATGACAGCGCATGACACGTGACACCTGTATCTGGAAAAAAAAAAATCGTGTCAATAATATTTTATTAATTTATTTTCGTCAATTTGAGGGTTGGACCAAGTATCCTTTTAAAATGCATTTAGTTTTATTTTTCTACAAAGACATGTAATTTGAAATTCGTTTTGAAAAAAGAAAAAAAAAATCTTTGAATGTCGCCGTCTTCACACTGTCATTAGGAGGCATGTGAGAACAAGAATCTTCAGACTCTACTTTTACATTTTCCATACAACCTGAGGTTAGGAAGATTCATGTACATTTTGTCCCGTTGGGACTTCTCTAGTCTCACGCATTGGCCGTGGTGAAACACACGCAATTCAACCAGTTCACACCATAGGGTTCACACGCTCACACGCCACACTGTGTATTTCTCACGCTGATCATTCAAGGGCAATGCCAACCAAGTTGTCCTGGCAGCAAGCTTTATATATCACGTTGTATACGAGGCGCAGGCACACATAAGTGAAGTTTCCTGCCACCAGCACGTATCTCAGTCCGTTACTAGGCAACATAGATGCGCGAAATCACGGAAGTTGACGGAACATTCTCGGTCACCTTACATTCGAACAATATCGGGCGAACACACGTCGTGATGGAGAAGGTGAGTTAGAAGAAGCTCTTCTAACATTTTTAGGCTAGAACATTTAATATATAACCCCTCATATACATTATTATTGATGCAGTCAAAAACTCTATAACTAGGCTACTTTGCAACCAGGCCAGAAGCTTTGGCTCAGTTTGGCTAGCTTATTATCTGAAACTAAGGGAAATGTTAGTGGGTATGGCATGGGAAGGAATGAATATATTATATATAATATATTATACTGCATTAATAGTATTTCTAGTTACATCTATTAAAGCAGATAAGACACATTTCATAAGCTGGAGTGTGTAGCTACTCTTGTCTTGTGCGCACACACACATACACACACACACACACACACACACACACCCACACACACACACACACACACACACACACACACACACACACACACACACACCTTATACTCTAATATGTCCATTTGTTCACAATGTCCCACCACACAATAAATCATTACACCATTTTGGCTAGACACATTCAAAATATTAAATTGAAAAAAATTAAACACATTAAATATTAGTTTTTCCAAACTGTTTGGAGCAATTTGTTACCTATATTTTTGTATATTTGTAATTTTGAAATATAACTTTAAAGAGTATATTTGATGTGATGAATTGCTCTGTTACTTATCAGATTTACCGATTGTTATAATTTCAATTTGTGCTGGTTAATTATGAACAATGGGTAAAATTGTGACCTCTAACCACATGTGATCTCACTCCAAGCTTTTGATAAAACTTGAGAACCCTGAAATTATTCTATGTGCATTGTAGGAAAGCAAAGCATGTTTCTGGCTTGTGTGAATGTGGGAGTCTTATAGGGTATGTTTTCCTAGAATGCAGAAAGTATAGGGCAGAAAGAAATATATTCTTTGTTAAACTGGCAGGACTTGGTGGAGTTAAGGCTTTTTCTCTTTAATCTTTGTTTGGACAAACTGACGAGCATAAACTGATCTCCAAGGCAGTTCTTCAGTTCTTGCATGACACAGGACTGTATACTGTAATTTAGTTCAAACTTTGACCTGTGGAGGGCAGCAATACACTCAGCAGTGCTACACTGCCGGAATCCCACAAGAAGAACAACAACCAGAAGAACAAGATTGTTCGTTCATAGTTTTACTTGGAAACAGTTTTTTGTAAGTATCATACATGCTGCATCTTCATATGATTGGATCCCATGACCACCTGATCTCTACAAAGATTTGTATGGACTCCCTGATTCTTGAGAGATAATTAAGGGAATTCATTTAAAAATAGCAATGAATGCCCTGATTATAAAGAACTTCATTTTTAACATAAAGAGGGCTTTTGTGTGTACTGTGTAGGACACGTTAGGTCCCTTATCTCTAAATTCAGTTAACTACAAAGGTCAGGTGTTACAGGTGTTTAAGCACTGATATATAAAGGAAACTCCTTTACAGCTTTGTGCACTACACTCATACCTGTACTCTCTGTCATTTGAAACTTACTGCTGAGCAAGAATAGCTTTTATTTCTTACGACTACATTTCCTGATTTTCTCTCTCTAAACATCTCAACAAAGCAGCAATAATGAGTTCTTGTTCGGGACCAGAAAATGCCAAAGTTTTAGTGGTAGGTTCAGGTTTTGCAGGTTTGGCTGCTGCAGCCAAGTTAGTGGAGGCAGGATTTGAAAATGTCCTGGTTCTTGAGGCAAAGGAAAGAGTTGGAGGTCGAGCGCACACCACTAAACCGTTCAGCGAGAATGTCATTGAAGTTGGAGCTAACTGGATCCACGGGCAGAAAGGAAACCCTCTGTTCAAGATTGCGAAAGAGGAGAACCTGCTATCTGAGGGACCTTCTGCACGCAAAAACATGTGCCAGCCTCGTTCTGTAACTCCTCAAGATTACTTTTTCAAAGAAGATGGGAAGCAGGTGTCCAGAAAAGTTGTAGATCTGGTGAGTTCGTTCTTCAGCAAGCTCACCGATAAAGCTTTTGATGATGAACTCCAGAGCAGGCACAGGAAACTAAGTCTAGGTGCTTATCTGGATGATGCCTTCGGTGAAGCTCCTCTAGCGGCGACAGAGGACGGCCGGCAAGTTTTTGAATGGTGCAAAAGAATCGAATGCACAGATGAGGCTTGCTCTACCCTCTACGAGGTTTCTGCGTCTCAGATTAGCAATTACACTGCTCTAGAGGGAGGATTTTTTAATACTTTGGGACCTGGTGGCTATCAAGCAATTTTGGATCTTCTCCTGAAAGATCTGCCTTCGGGAACTATCCAGTGTAGTGCACCGGTCAAGAGCATCCAATGGGACTTGGTCAAAAAAGGTAGTGGTGAAGATCAAAGGTATCCTGTTAAGGTCGTCTGTGAAAATGGACAGAGCTTTGAGGCAGATCATGTGATTGTCACTGTATCTCTGGGGGTTCTCAAAGACAAAGCCACAACCATGTTTGAGCCGTCCTTACCGGAGAAAAAGCTGTCTGCAATTGAGAATCTTGGCTTTGGGATAGTGGACAAAATTTTCCTGTTTTTTGAGGAACGTTTCTGGCCAGACGACTGTTCCGGGGTTCAGCTGGTGTGGAAAGAAGGGCCTGAAGATAAAGATGTTTATGAGTCTCTGTCTGAAGGAGAAACCTGGAAAAAGACGTGGTTCAAGAAGATCACTGGTTTTGACACAGTGGCTCGTCATCCCACGACTCTGTGTGGCTGGATCACAGGTAGAGAAGCTCTGTATATGGAGAATCTTCAGGACAGTGAAATCGGAGCCATCTGTGTGAGGTATGGTGACATAAATGATGGAATAGATGATCATTTTACCATGGCCAAATATCATGCCTCTCTCCATATATAACAAACTCTGTTTTGTCTTTTAAGGTTGCTCAGGTCTTTCACGGGCTGGTCAGTGCCAGAAGTCTCAAAGACACTGATCACCAGATGGGGTTCTGATTCCCACGTCCGTGGCTCCTATACATTTGTTCCTGATGGTGTCAATGGAGTAAAAGCACACGAGGCATTAGCGTCACCTCTTCCCCCTAAACATAAATCCAGAGGCAGGAAGGTAACTCTTAATATCTTCTATAAGTGTTTGATTATTTAGGTAATATATATACAGTACATATATTTAATTGTTATCTATATAGAACAAAACCTTAAGTATACGTTTTTCATAACCATTATTATTACAAACAAACTGTTATGTATCTGCCGGTGTTATTTTACTATTCTAACATATATATTTTATTTTATTTTAACTTTATTTCAGTTACAAGTAAATAAGGGAAAATATTTTTATAGCTTTAGTTAACACTAACAATGCTCATATCCACATATTTTGCTGTCAATTGCAATAGTGTAAAAGATAGGAGGCAGATCGCATTTTCCAAAATTAAGAAGTGATGAAGTTATAACACATTTTTTCTCTCTCTGTTTTTGAAGCACCTTCAGGTGTTGTTTGCTGGTGAAGCTACACATGTGAACTTCTACACCACGACCCATGGAGCGTACCTCACAGGCGTCAGAGAAGCAGAACGACTCATAAGCTATTACGCCGATTGAACATACAGTACCAAAGAGAGGGCAACATACATTAGCATTTCATGAAGATTACATTTTATGAGTTGCATAACATTTTATAGACTTGCTCTTACACCCCACAGACTTACACAAGTCTTGTGTTCAAACGACCCATAGGCTGCCTGATAAACAGCGGATCCTATATCCAAGTGATCTCTGAACCAAGCATATCTCTGTCTGGTTAATTGATAAACTACAACATGTTGTGTGTGTAATACTGATGGAGAAATATTCTTTCCCACATTCCAAACAATGTTAAATAATATTTTCTAAAATTTAATTAAAGTAAACACTGTAATATTTAAAGATTATTTAAAAATACTTCACATACTGCAGCACAAATACAGTGCCCTCGAGTGATATATGCAGCATTATCCTGGAAATTTGCACTTGAATTGTTTTAAAATTGCCTCAAAAGTTTTTATTTTTGTTTGGTCAATATGCAATATGGTGGACTTCTGCAATGCCACAGTGCCTTAAATAAATTATTTCACAGGGAATATCTATGTTTGATCATTTAAAATAATATATCATTGTTAGTTCCTACTTATTTCTTATTATTAATATCTACCCTTTTATTTATTATTGTTTAGAATAATATTAGTCATCAAAACTGAAATACCACACATGATGATTAGGGAATATGCAGTGATCAATAAAGGTTCTTTTAAAAAATGTTGCCTTGTATTTGAGATTCCAGCTCTGGGTTTAAATTGTATTAATTCTCTCAACCAATTTCATAAGGTGCATCCTGGGATATTTAATTTTTTTTCCTAAACTATCCACTCCAAATGACCCATTCTGATTTTAGTTATTGTAATATGTACACATAGGCACAGTTTATAGTTGTCTACAAAACTAATTTCAAGTAATAACCTAGAGCTGAACATGCTCTAAACTGTGGAGATGGTTGTGAGAAACACTGCAGCATTAACCCCACTCACCTTCATGAGTAGCACACTGTGGAAGTAGTGGAGTCATTCGGGTTCCTGGGAACCACCATCTCTCAGGACCTGAAGTGAGACAATCACATTGGCTACATCCGAAATCACCCTATACCCTCAAATAGGGTATTTAGGGAACAGCCATTTGTAACGGTGTTCGAAACTACAGTGGACGTTATAGAAAGCACTCGAATGCACAGCCATCATTGAGTCTGTTCTATGCACTTCTATAAGTATGGTATGGTTTGGGTTAGCTACCAAAATCAGACCTACAGAGACTACAACAGACAGTCCGGACTGCTGAAGATTATTGGTCCCCCTCTTTCAGAGTAAGAAAGGGCAGGTAAAATCATCAGACTTCACTCCCCCTGAACACCACCTGTTTGAACTGTTGCCGTCTGAATGGTGATTCAGATCACTGGGCACAGGAATGGCTTCTTCCCACAGGCCATTTCCCTCTTAAACAGTTAAATGCCTCCCAAGGCAAAATGACAAAGTGCCATACCCTGCTGCTTAGTGCAATGTTTTTGTAAACTCGGTTGATATTTATTTGTAATATTGTAATATTCATAATCTTATTATGACTAAACCTGATTGTGTCTGATACTTTTAGATTTTGCTCTTATTTTTTATTAGCCAACTATGTTTCTTGTTGTTGTATTTGTATGTGTGCTTTAAAAAATCCCTGTGTGCAAGTGTAACCCCTCACACCCGGGTCCAACTCAAGCACACTTGGCAATAAAGCTCTTGCTGATTCTGATATTGAGCACATCTTTTATTTTGAAAAATTACGTACATCCGGGGTTGCTGTTTTCTTTTTGGCCGCTTGCTTCACACTGTTACAGTCACACCGGTGTTTCGGCGAATAAGATCATGCATTAGTCAGAACCAGAATTGGTGGAGTAATAAATAGCATTTAAGAATAGGTGAGACAATATACACATTGTATCGGAATACTCGTGCTGTTACTCACATTTATCTCGAGGAGTCACTTGTGGCTTTTGATCAAAAGTTTTGTACTGGAATGCGGTAAATTAATTAGCCTGCTGATGATCTAACCGCTTCTGCAATCTCACATCACCATTCACCAACACACAAAAATGAATTAAAACCATTTAAGTATGGATCTAAATGTGAACTGTTAAACTATACCGACTAGTCTCATAGTAGTTTTGCAGCTTTAGCTTTGCACACCGAACGTTAACCAGAGCTAATCACTAGACACTCCGATACTGATTGTAAGTTAACGTTATTATAACGGGTTTCAGTCAAATGTTATGTTTGTAATGTACGTTTTATATATTTATAATTTTTGTTTCACGACCACTGTAAGTATATGTATTATTAAGTTGTAAACAAGTTAGCATTGTAGTATACGTTGAACTGCCTTTTATTAATATAGTACTGATAATTGAGATCGATATATTATTTAATAATGACGTAATGGTATTTATATATATATATATATATATATATATATATATATATATATATATATATATATATATATATATATATAAAGAATGTTTAGAGTGATGTAAATTATTTCAGATGGCATGAGAAAGTTGCTCCGCCCTCTGTAAACACCTAGGGTACGTGTTCATTTGAGATCTCTTTTCTTTCTCTTCCTACTTCACTCTCACTTACAAGGTGTATCAATTCAGGATGATCATCACACTCCTGTAAGCAGTTCTCCAACCTTGAAACGCTGAAGATCCGGATCAACAACTTTCAACAATGGAGTCATTCCCAAATCATTTGAGACCTTCTAGGAAATCGTTGCTGTTTGCCTTCATTGCAGTGTGGCTTTTTGTTTCCATTTCCTCTGATGAAGATTACTACAAACTGTTGGGTATCTCAAGAGAGGCCAGTACACGTGAGATTCGGCAGGCTTTCAAAAAGCTTGCTCTCACAATGCATCCAGATAAAAACCCTGTGAGTAGCTTTATTATGGCATTTCAAGACTGTGTCCTCCTTTCTCGTGACACTCTGAGAACGCTGCTATTGTCTTTTTAGAATGATGAAACGGCCCACGACAATTTCTTGAAGATCAATCGTGCCTATGAGGTGTTGAAGGACGAGGACTTGAGGAAGAAATATGACAAGTATGGAGAGAAGGGCCTGCAAGATGAACAGCAGGGAGGAAGATATGAAAGCTGGAACTATTACAGATATGATTTTGGTAATTTAGTTCTCCACGTTATGTTCTATGCAGATGTCATTTCATAATACATAAGTAAATGTGTAAGAAGATATGCCATACTTGTCTCTATATTGGAGAAAAACCACAAAGTTGTGTTTTTCAGGAATTTATGATGATGATCCAGAAATTACTACACTAGACAGAGGGGACTTTGGTAAGTGATCATCTTAAATCACGCTGATTATGCGGTATTCAAGGCAAATGGAAAAAGCGTCTGTGTGCTGGACTGAATCTCTTGAAAAAATGTCCAGGTTATCCATATTTCATCCCAAAATCAAAAGATAAAAAAATCTATTATATTTTTAAAGAAAATTAAGAATGTCTGCAGTGTGACAATATTTTCATGACATTTCCTAGTTATGCATCTAGACATTTACTTTATATTTTTATTTGTGCAATTTTCATTATTGTGAATGGTGTTTGTCATTAGTTTCTAGAGATCACTAATGTTTTACAGAAAATTTTAATTTAGCACAAATTATATGCTGTTAAAATGTAAATTTCAAATTGTATTAATGAGTTTGAATTGGAAAGGTATTATGTTTAAAATACCAATCAAGAAAATAATATAGAAAAGGCTAAAAATAGACTGTTTTCTTTATACAGAATTAGTTTTTTATTTTGAATTTGGGGACAATTTCTTGTTCGGTTTTTTATCTCCCTCCATATCTTTTCAGCTGATCTTGTGGTATACAAATAGAGACCTAACCTGTTTTTGCAAATGGCAGTGCTGTGAAACCAGTTTTGTCTTTCCACAGATGCAGCTGTAAACTCTGGAGAGGTCTGGTTTGTGAATTTCTATTTCCCACGCTGCTCGCACTGTCACGAGCTTGCCCCCACGGTGCGTAACTTTATTTTCTCCTCTTAATCACTTCCTGCTCAGAGCATTTCACAATTGTTCTAGGCCTTGTAGTTTATTTGACTGACAAGTGAACACACTCCACAGTGGCGGGAGTTTGCAAAGGAAATGGACGGTGTGATTCGGATCGCTGCCGTGAACTGCGGTGATAATGGCATGTTGTGCCGTAGCAAAGGCATCAGCAGCTACCCCAGCCTCTATGTGTTCAGAACGGGAAGGGTGAGGACATTCGGTCTCTATCAGTGTGTAATACATGAGATGTTTATAATCTAAAATAAAAATGTAATCATGCCAACAGAATCCAGAGAAATACTATGGCGACAGAACAAAATCAAGCCTCACCAAATTTGCAATGCAGTTTGTGGAGAGCAAAGTGACGGAATTATGGCAAGGTCTTCCTTTTTTATATTTATATTATTATTATTATTATTAAGGGGTCATGACATGAGAAAGTGACCAATAAGAGGTCTTTGTTCCATTAAAGCAGCACTATGCATTTTTTTTTTACCTTAAGTGAATACTTCGGAGTCATTGCAATGGTTATAAGACCATTGTATATTTATATTTTCGGGTTGAATGTTGTGCGTCTCGTCTCTTTTGTACAATTATTTTTTTATGAAAATTTAAGCATGTTTCCTCCCAATTCCTGTTACAGTAATGCAAAAAAAACAAACTCTTATTCATTATAGTAATGTGAAATATATTGTTGTAAAGTATTAATATAACATTAAGTTTATATAGTATGTTATGTTAAACTGCCTGTACTGATTTACGCTGAACATTTTATGTAAAATGGATTTTCATTTACAGGGAACATTTCCAATGAGATTGAGCGGGCGTTTGCTGAAAGAATCGGCTGGTTGATAACTTTCTGTGCAGACACTGGTGGTGAGACAGCTACTAAACCTTTTTAATGCTAGAAATACTGATATTTTCTTAAAATATCACTAAAATTACACTTTTTCTTTTCATAGATTGTCTGGAACCTCAGACAAGGCGGAAGCTAGCTGGAATGTTGGTAAGCGTTGAGCTGATCGTGTTTAACCAGATTCAATTCAAGTATCAAATATTGTAAACAAACCGTTTAATAAAGTATGTTATTGTCTCGTGAGCATGAATGAACATGTTTCTCTCTGCAGGACGGCCTGGTCAATGTCGGATGGATGGATTGCTCCAAACAGGCAGATTTGTGTGAGAGCTTTGAGGTCACCACTAGCACAACGGCCCTCTTCCCCCCTGGCAGCTCCCTTGCTCAGAAAGGCAGCGTATTGGTAAGGAACTTCTTTCTAAGGGGGTGTTTACATGACACTTTTCAACTAAAAACAGAAAAAATTTGTGCTTTTTGGCCATTCATTAACACGACAATAACATTTTTGGGGATCTGAAAATGAAAACGGGTTCCAAAGTGCACGTTTTGGAAACAACACCACCATTATTGTCTGTGTAAACTACAAAAATGCAAATTTGTGCAAACGATCACGTCATGCGCACGTGTATTCAGTGAGGTTTAATCGTTTTTGTGGATTCGTGTAAACTTTTCAAACATTTTTTCGTTTTTACTACATAAACACACGTTTTTTCGTTGTTGTGTAAACACACCCTAAATATTGCATCTTGTCCAGTTGTAGTATTTAATTGAGCCAATCTGATGGTCTGGTTTTCATTTTGATTTTTTTTTAACTTTGCAGTTTATCCAGAGTTTGGATACTAGAGATATATATGCACAAGTGTTGCAGCATCTGCCTGACCTGGAGATTCTTACAAGGAACAGCTTTGAGGTAAGAGTGCAAGTGACTTGAAGATCATAAGAGCAGCTGTAGAAAAAGAGTTTGTTTGCACTGAACTGAGCGTAGTCCTGTACCGCACCCTGAACTACCTGCAATATCACTGTTTACACAGTAACTGATGCGCTGGATGAAATATGATTGCGTGGCATAATTATGTGCATCTTTTTGGAAATATCATGAAAGATACCCTACTAATGATCAGGTTTTTTTTCTGATTTTGTCATTTCAGCACAAATTGGCTCATCATCGATGGCTCATCAGTTTCTCCTTTGGACAAAACAATTTGGCAACACACGAGTATAAAAAACTAAAAGCTCTTCTTAAGGACTCTAACATACAGGTTATTGATTTTTGTTTTTTCTTTCTTGACATTCTTGATTTTATTTTGAGTTAACTTAAAAATTTTTAATATTTCTTCTTCTCATGTTGTTTCAAACCCGTATGACTGACTTTAGTCCATGAAACACAAAAAAAGTAATTTTTAAGAGTGATCATGCTGCTTGTTACCATATCAAGCTGCAAAAAGGATCCAAAAAGCATCATAAAAGTAGTTTGTATGACTTATGGGCAATATAATCTTAGTGTTTTGAAGCTAAGATTCAGTCTCACATGACTCCTATTGTTTGACTTTTAACAAGTCCTATGGACTAATATGGTACTTTGAATGGTGCTTTCATCAATATTTTGAGGCATAAATTGTACAGTTTTAGAACAACAATGAAAGCGAGTAAATTGCCGTTTTTACTGTTGTTTTATGTAGTACATAGTTCATATGAGTTCTTGTTTATGGTGCTGTTGTGTCGGATTCATTGCGTTCATCTGTTTGCACAGGTGGGGAAGGTGGACTGCGTCTCAGATTCAGAGCTGTGTGCTTCCCTGTATATACAGAAGCCCTGTGTGGCAGTTTTTAAAGGAGTTGGAATTCATGATTTTGAGATTTACCATGGTGAGTTTTAGTAAGACTTAATATTCTGGTTCTAAATAACAAAAAACAAGTGTTTTTTAGCCCTTTGATGCATTAATTATCCAAATAAATATTTGGGTTACACTTTATTTTAAGGTGACATACTGTAGTTACATTGCACTTACTCAAATAAGTACTGAGTAATGTTACTTAACTACATATACTACTTACCATAGAGTTATGTTTTGGGTTTATTTACTTGTCATGCATAATTTTCTGTTATTACTAATGGTGCGTTCTATTATACCCAACGAACCGACTCGGACCTCGGATTTTACGTCACGTCCACACTTCAAGCTTTCTATTATGTTTTGCTTGTCTGAGTCGGAGAAAGCTGTTGTAATAATGGTAGCACTGGCCGAGTACCAGGCACTTACATTAAAATAAAAATATTATGACTACACCTTATCAAAACGCAGCCATTTGAACTTGAAAATGTTCACTTTATTTAGAGATTTTCATGTTAATCTTCTGTTAGCAACGCTAGCAACGTTAGTAATTGCACTCACAACAACCGATTCCCATACCTACAGGGGACGCAGTAATACGAGTGATTATAATCGTCATTTAAAATACCAAAGCGGTTCAAAAACAATGAAAACAATTCATTCTTACAAGTCACAGGGCGCAGCCATTTTGAATTCCGAAACGGAATTCTTGCTCGGTGTCCTCACGGTTGTCCGACGTCCGATTTTATAATTTTTTGTAACATACATTTCTTTACTGTCAGTTTTGATCCTTGCTGAATGAAAGTATTAATTTCTTTATAAAACAATGGTAACCCCCAAATGCAAACAGTCATATAGTTAGTAAAGGTCATTTGGTTTGGATGTAAGTTAACTACACTCCCTGAATGGCTAAAAATGTCTTTTAAAGATTTCCTGTATCAGAGGGTTAAAACCTTTAAACTTTCATCCAAATTGGCAAAATTGAGTTTGGTCTTGGTCTAAAATGTTTGCGATTTGTACTTTGTGTTAAATCTCCAGGTAAGGATGCCCTTTACAACGTTGTGGCCTTTGCAAAAGAGAGCGTGAATGCCCACGTCACCACCCTCAGGCCTGAGAACTTCCCCAGCCACGAGAAGGAGCCCTGGCTGGTTGATTTCTTCGCTCCTGTGAGTTATTACATCTAAACCTCCACTAATGATTGTCTGCCAAGCACATACTTACATTACCATGGTAACGTCCATGATACATCAAACTCAGTAGGGTGGATATGATTAGCGGAGGCAAGCACAGAGAACATTACTGACAGTGTGAAATTCACACATTAAAAGCATCATTTGGATTTGTGTTTGAAATATAGATTCTTCATTATGCGTAATTTTTCTGTCCTACAGTGGTGTCCGCCATGTCGAGCTCTTCTCCCTGAGTTGAGAAAAGCCTCCATCCAGCTCGTTGGACAGATGAAGTTTGGGACTCTAGACTGTACCGTGCACGAGAGGCTCTGCAACACGGTACCAAGATACTTGCCTTCGCTCAAACGTTGCAGAATTTGACTGTTGATTGGGCACGATGGCTCAGTATTTCTAGCATAATAATGTGGTTTCCTGCAGAGCATACTTATTATGGATTGATATTCTCATTGGCTTCCTGTCTTATTTAACAGATCATCGTAAAACCTTCTGAATCTTTGCCACAGGAAACCACAGTATTTGACTTTCTCTTCATATTGCTTAAAAGTGAAGTGTGTCATTTCTGTACAACTAAATCGCAAAACATTTTATAATGAATAATGTTTCTTATATGGTAAAATTGCAAAGATATTTAACAACTTATAATAATTTCATATTATCATTGTTATTTTTATTGGTTATATTAGTACGTAATTATTAATTAGTAATAATAACCTATTCACATTTTATTATAATTGTTGTACTTGTTATATTTTTGAACCAGTTTCAAACACTCACTATCTCCCTGCTCTGACAGAGATATTCCTGCCTTGCATTGCCTTTGACATATTTTATATTTAATTTATGAATATTTTAGACCTTTTTATTGTATATAAATATGCCTTACCTGAGCATGAAGGTTCAGGTGACAGCCGGTTCTCATCTCTTGCATCTTTCCCTTCTTCAGTACAACATTCATGCATATCCAACAACTGTAATCTTCAACAAGTCCAGCATTCATGAGTATGAGGGCCATCACTCTGCGGACGGCATCCTGGAGTTCATAGAGGTGAGAGACAGATTACAGTCACACTTCATACTCCCATTCATAATTCATACACACATCTGTTTAGATGAAATAGACTGTGTCTATTGCAGGACCTTGTGAACCCTGCTGTGGTGACTTTGACCCCAGAGTCATTCCAAGAGCTGGTGAAGAGACGCAAGTCCTCAGAGACATGGATGGTGGATTTCTACGCGCCGTGGTGTGGCCCTTGCCAGGCCCTGATGCCTGAGTGGAGGAGAATGGCACGGGTATCTGCCCTCATTTATAGCACTGCCAGTTTGATTGACTATGATCTCGATGTGACAGCCCTTTAAAGCACCTGTACACAAATGTTTGATTTAATCGCGATTTGTGATAACCACAATCATTGTGCACTTGCAATTTATTTTTGACATTTTCACAAAATTACATGCAAATACTAGAAATGCCATGCAATAAATTAAGGATTCTGGATGCACTTTCACTCATTTGTGTAACTATCTGTGTAAAGAACACAGAGGACACAGAGATTTTGTCCAAAAGGTAATTCAAATTGAACATACAAACAAAAACTAAAAGGTCTTCCTTCATCTGAAGTTTAAAAGCACTTATCTTAAAATTCTGAATGTTCACATGAAGTCTAGTTTACTATTATTAACTATACTATTATACTTAATATTGAATGCCAATTAAAACATGCTCATTATTATTATTGTTATATTGTAATACTGAAAACCAAAGTGACATTTCAGAGAAAAAAAAGATCAAATAAAAACTTAATATAACCTAACTGTATAAGTATGCACACCCCTGAATACATTATTATTGATTATATTTGAAGCACCCCTTGATTGTATTACAGCACTCCATTTGTTTGGATAGTAGCGTACTGGATTTAAAAATCTTAGAACTCAAATTGGCTTAAACATGTTTTTTCTTTTATTTTAAGATATTTCATATTAATATTTAATTTAAGAATTTAATTGTATTTAATATTTAGTATCTTAAATATCATGTATTTTTAACCTGTGCAATATTTGTTTTGCAAAACCTCAAAGGTAGTCATTTTAAATATTACACTAGAGTTTTGTGGGACTTTAAAGGTCATTACACACTGAGTCCGAAATTTTTGTGTGCGTTTTTCCGTATTCGTGATTCAGTGGCTCTGAATTGTCAAAACATCGTTCAAACTGCTTGGCTATGGATGCGAAAAACGCAGAAAATCAAACCCGATTCGATTTTTTTTATGATGGATGAAAGTTTCGGAGGCAGTCATTGCAAGCGTCATTGACATAACGTGAGGTCGTATTTACGTTTTAATGTGCGAAAATTTGGGACGTGAATTTCGGACTCAATGTGCAAGGGGCTTAAGGTGTATCCATTTTAAGAATACACTTTACGTGAATAAAAAAAGACAAGCACTTTATAAGTCATTTGAGAATTAATTGCTTGCCAAAATGTCATGATCATTACTACCCTGTTGCTGTGCCTGTTCTAGATGCTGAGAGGGACTGTAAACGTGGGATCAGTCGACTGCCAGAGATACCACTCGTTCTGCCAGAGCGAGAGTGTCCGAGGTTACCCAGAGATCCGCCTGTTCCCTCAGAACAGCAACCGCAGGGACCAGTACCAGTGAGTGTACTTTACATTCCCAACCTCATATACAATTACACCTCAGTTCAACAAGTTCTGCGTTTCTCTCCCATTGTTAACAGGAGCTACAATGGATGGCACCGGGATGCCTTTTCACTCAAGTCTTGGGCTTTGAGGTGAGCCGGATTCATTCTCACTAAATATCCATAAATTCGCCAGCGTTTTAATCAGCTTATTCTATTTGATTAATAGTTTTTGGTAAGCATGCGAGAGACTTGATTAAATAATTTCAGTACAACGTAAAACTCTACTGAATTAAAGTTGCTGCCTAACTATAGAGTTTCAAACCAGTAACTTTTGGTTTCATCTGTTAGGATGCTGTCTATGTAGGCAGAGCTATATTACATAACCTCAAACCCCTAGTGTCTTCTGTCTGTAGCTCGCTGCCTCGTGCCTCAGTGGATCTGTCCCCTGAGGACTTTAAGAGAAAGGTTTTGGGAGGGAAGGATCACTGGGTGTTGGATTTCTACGCCCCATGGTGTGGGCCATGCCAGCAGTTTGCCCCTGAGTTTGAAGTTCTCGCCAGGGTAAGACTAATTTGTGGAAACATCTGATGTAGAACGTCATTTACCCTCCTCGCAAAGTGAGAATCATATTTAAAATATTATGCTTTCCTTTTCACAATTAAACTCTAAAAACTTAACATATAAATTGTAACTTCATACTTGTGTTTTTAAAGAAAGATTAAAGCTTGACAAAGTTTATACACACACAAACATTTTATTTTCCATTTTTAACTGTCATTTGCAGCGCTTCATGTGATTGAAGTACACGTCTTGTACCTTTGTCTTTAATTTGAAGCAAAAAGTATTTGAAAAATAGACAAAGTTTGTAATATTGTAAAATTCACCACATGGTTGGCTGGGTTTTTTTTTTTTTTTTTTTTAAATCATTATAGGGAATATACTTCCTAAACCAAGTTTGCACTTATTTTGTAGTTTTGTTTATCTGTGTAATCTCAAGATTGTCTTTGGGTCGTTCTCAGATCCTGCTGGAGAACGTGATCATCAGGTTTTGTTCATGTTAGCTCCAGTGCTGCAGTCATTAAAGCAAAAGGCTGATTCAGTTTAGACTTTTCACTCAAATTGAACATTTAAAGGGTCATTCCACCTCTGGAAAGATGAATCTGTATTTCTAGACTGAGAAAAGACAGAAAATGTATTTTTGGCTTATGTGGATGAAAGACAACAACTCCAAGAATGCACTTTCTTCACTGCCCTAGGAGGCCACGCCTACAGAGCGCAGTAGTTAAACAACAGTCTAGGCTAATGTTACTAGTAGTGAGTCTCCATGATGAGCCGAAAATGTGTTTCGAGATCGCCCAAAATGTCCGGGATTCGTTTATTGCATTCAACAGTCGCCATTCATCATGTTTACTGTGGCGAGCAGGACGAGTGAGGGCCGTGTGGAGAACGACGTGAGGCCGGTGGCGTGATTACTGATGAGCGACGCCTGTGAGACACACCGGTCTCGTATCTCTCACGGAGGAGCGGGAATTTTCTTAACAATGTTAAAAACCGCAAATAAACCGATCACTTTTTTAGCGTTCATGTAAACACTACATTCACATTCACCAATCAGAATGAATTCAGTTAGATTGAAACAAAAGCTTTAAATGTAAACAATGCATGTCGACTGCAGAAAGCAAAAGCTGAATCCCGGACATCGACAGCCGGACAAGTCCGGGAAAAAGAGGACGGTAACCCCTAAAGTTACTACTCGGCTTTCTCCACAGAACAAGAGCCTGCTAGTTTAGCTTCCAAAAAAGATGGCTGACAATATGTATAATCCCAATCCTCCATAATGCATCCGTCCGCCAGTTCAGCTTCGTCCATATTTTTTAAAAAGTTTCTGCCGATGAAATCAGACGCACTGGCACTGATCTGTGATAGGTCTGTTAGCGCATTAGGCCCAACCCCCTATGGGCAGGTGTGAAAGGGTGAGATCTAGTGTTTGTAGTCTTTACAGAAATTACACTTCCTCCTACAATGACGTAAAATGACGATTTTTGCGTCATTGTAGGAGGAAGTGAAAAAGGTAAATAGCAGATTTCTCTCGTCTCATGGGAAAATAAGAGTGTTGCACGACCATTCAAGTGCCTCAAGTCCGCAGGATTGTCAAAGCGATACACAGCAAGTTGCCATGGAGAAAACCTTGATCATGTCCCAGACAAAGTCAACAATCACCAGGTGTCCTAGGGAGTCGGGGAAGTAACGCAAGTGCGGCTCTTGCGGCAAGTTGTTGTTCCAAAAGCGGCCTTGGCCAAGGCCAGTGCTAGTTCGGGGCGGCCGAAAACAGATAAGATTGGGCTTGTTTGGTCTTGGGCCGAAAAGCCGCATTCAATTTACACGGCTAAATGGGTGGAGTGTCCCTTTAAAATGCAGTAAAATGTGCTATTGTAATTAAAAAATGCAGCACTGGCTCTTGACTAACTTCAATCAGTGCAGGTGCTCTGATCGTGAATAATTCAACGCATCAGTCATCTATTCCTCCCGTCTGCAGATGATGAAGGGAACCGTGCGAGCTGGTAAAGTGGACTGCCAGGCGCACTACCAGACCTGCCAGAGCGCTGGGATCAAGGCTTACCCCACTGTCCGATTCTACCCCCACATAGGCACCACTCGGGTACGGCACAAGCGCTGGCCATCGTATTGTTCCAGGTGCTCTCTGGGTTATTTCTGTACCTACTCAAACCTCTCTATCTTTGTGTCCCAAACTCTTGTAGCGAGATCATGAAGGAGAGCATATTAACAGCAAAGACGCCACCGTCATCGCAGACGTTCTCCGACAGAGACTCCAGCAACTAGCGTCACAGGGAAAGTCCTCCAAACTTAAAGTAAGATACGGCTCCTATTGGCTCTCACTACTTTTGGTTTAGGAATCCGAACTGAATAATTAAACACGGTTTATATGAAACTGTTAAATTAAAATGTTGAATCTGAGAAAATGTGTTGACAATCCAGTTCATTATTATTATTTTATTAAAGCCAGAATCATATTTCAAAAGAACGTACAATTAATCGCGCAGCCCAAAAGTCAACGTTTTAATTCATAGCATCATTTCCTTCCCTACAGGACGAACTATAGGACACATCTTGTGATCCACAGCTGCTGTATGTGGCATGGTGAGAGTGATGGAAGAAAACGCACACTCATGAACTCACTTTGATGAGCGCAAGAGATTTGTTTTGAGTTTTTTGACTGCCAAATGGACTGTAGAAAGGAGCGGCCTCACCTCGACTGCCTCAGAGAAGGGTTCGAGGGGGGAATCAGAGTTCAAAATGCACCTCTAAATGTGTTACTGATTCAATGAGAGGTTACCACAGTGCAATTTATGATCCTCTGTAATCTATGAATGTCAAAAAGTGTCTTCATTTCCTTACAGAGACTGTATTTATGTCTGTATTTTCTCACAGCTGCTCCGTTTTCAATTGGATTTATGTGATTAAACAGTGTAAAATGTGAAGAATTTTAAGAGAGTTGTATTTTACTTGGTATTTCTGAACAATTTTAGAAGACTTATTTTAATGTGCTTCTGGAACTATCATGGAGTTTGTTGTTAAACCAAATTATTGTAGAAAGCCTAATACTACACTGGCGATAGATATGTTCTTTTTTAATTGTTCTTTTAACCATTTTAGTTTCTAGCAGCTATGTAAATTGAAGAGACTCTTTATAGAAAAACAC